ATTGTGTTTTTAAATTTACTTCCTGCTGTCTGGGGGTGATGGTATCTTTAGAGGATCCTGAAAGAAAAATTTAAGTTAATTGTCAAGTCCTGGTAGAGGTAGCTGTACCATTTTTTTTTAAATTTTGTCCAGTCTATGTATAGTGGGAAAGTGCCGGGCTTGTCTCAAGTACTGGCTAGGATAGTCTGTGAGGCTGGATCATCTCACCTAGCTACCTTGAAATTGTTCTGAGCAGTTTGTAAACCAATGCTGATCTTTAAGTAGTGCTATCAGCTGAATGGCATCATATGAATCAGGTGGAATTGTTGTGGGGCCCCATCTTCTTCCTGGAGACGTCAGAGGTTACTGTAGGAAAATTTATTGTTCATTGTGGAAAACTTAAACATTATTCATATCAAAACAAAAAGTTTGAATTTCAATAGCATATATTCAAAGAAAGGTACCATAGAGATGTAAATAGGTATGGGGAGAAGTAGAATTTTTGATAACCTTAGTCCCTAGATTTTATTTTCCTCTGTCCCACACCTGGTGGCTCCTAATATGAGACAGAAACTCTGAATTTTTCTTTGAACACATGCTGGATTTAGGGAAGTATAGCCACCATCCAACTCCAAAGCCAGCTTTGATTTTTAAGTGAGTCGTGACTTTATGCTGAGAAGTATTGAAATATATATGTTTAGGTAGTGAGATTTTACCCTGCAGAGGATATTGGTACCATAAGTCAGATTTCTCTACCCAAGCCTCAGTGTTATAAAAGATTCAATATTGGCTGTGTATAGGACCCATTCGTCATTGGTGCTGACCTGACTTTTTTTTTTTCTTATTAATACAGTATTTATTTGTCTTCTCTCTGTCAAACCCTGAGCCACTCACTTTCCCCAGACTTCCTGGGGAGGTAGAGGAAAAGGAACTTACAGGGCAGACGGGACACAAAAGAACTATGGGAGGTGAAGTGGAGACAGCTGTGTCACATGGCGAAGAGGATGAGAAAGGCCACCATTAGGCAAAAGAGCCCCATGGCCTCTGAGAGGGCAAAGCCCAGAATGGCGTAGGAGAAGAGCTGTTGCTTCAGAGAAGGGTTCCTGGCATAACCAATGATGAGGCTCCCAAAAACAGTTCCAATCCCAGCCCCAGAGCCAGCCACCCCAACAGTAGCAGCCCCAGCCCCAATGAACTTGGCGGCTGTGTGGATGTTCCTGGAAATGACACTGGTTTGGAAGCTGCGGCTAGGGACGAGTGAGGTCAAAGGACAAGGGACTGCCAAGCTGCTGAGGGCCTCATCTCTCCGTGTCTGTGGGTTCAGCTCCACTGCAGACAGAGGACGGCTCAGCAGCTGAGAGGTGCTCCTGACCAAGGAGCGGGTGGAGATGAACCTGGAACAGGCATACATTTTCAGGGGTGAGGGGCCAAGGCAAGAGAGCTGCTCCCAGGGTAGAGAAGACCTGATCTGAAGAGATCAGGTATCTTTAAGAGCCCAAGTATCTTTTACATTCTAAGTTAGCATTTTAAAAGCAAGAGACTCAATGCGTACTTACTTGTCTAGCTTCTGGATCTGCTACTCCTATTTAAATTAATCTTTGCAAAAGGTCACTAAAGGGTTCTCTTGGGTCTTATATAACCTTAGTATATGATTCAATTCTTTTTTCTGATTCTTGTCCCAAGCATTCAAGGCTGCTGTATGACATAGGGACAATATGTATTCATTGTACGTAGCTTGACTATCTGAATCAGCATAAGGGCCCTCACCAAGAATTTGATCTTGGGAGGCCTCAAAACCTCTGACTCTACCTTGATGTTCAAGGGTCTTAGCCTCTTCTCTAAAACTTCTTCCACTGTAACTGTGGACCATGGTCTAGTACAGCTGAGACTAATTGAAGCCAATCATGTGGAGTAACTATTTCTTGAAGCCCTTGTCTTTACCAACTCCCTCACATACGGTGAATGCATGCCATAAGATACAACTGCTTGTTAATATCTTTTAGATCTCTCATATGTATAGGTTTGCATTTACATTCTGTATATCCTTTTGGGTATTGAGTATTTGCTGGCTTTCCAGCCATACTAACAGGATAAGTAAGCTAAGACTCTTGGTAAGTCATCTCTGACTCTGAAATCTTTACTGTTGTCTTTTACCTGTACCTCTTTGCTTATCAGTTCTGACAAGTTCCTTGAATGATTCAAATCTTTTTATCACTGTCATTTATAAAGTCTGAATCTCTTGATCTGTGAATATTTCTAATGATTTCATCAAATAATTTCTGGTTCTCATTCTGCACAAGTTTTTATATTTTTCCATTAATGATATCTTCTCACCCTTAGAGATTATTTGGATGGAATGTAGATTGCATTCCAGGAAGGATGTTCTATCTGCTAGCTTGTCAAAACTTTATAACAGATTTGTATTGTCAATTTCAACAGTATGAATCCTTTCAGATAATCTCTCAGTGCCATTTTGTAAGGTTTCATAATCCATTGACATGGTTTGAATTTTATCTGGGATATGAAGGTCATCATTTTCAATGGTATGAGTCCTTTCGGCCAACTTCTCATTACTAGTCAGTAAAGTTGGTATCATCTCTAAAAGTTTCTCATTCTTGACTTATCAAACCATTTCTTTAAAGATAATAATATGAATTATCAAACTGATATCAGCTATGGCTAAGGGTGTACAAGTCACAGGTAAGACATATACCTCTCCTAGAATTCCATCCATAATAGAAACAGAAAGATTATTAAATTCTTGGATGGGGATATTACCTGCAATTATCTTAGGAATGGTTTACAAATTGCTTAAAAAAAAAAAACATAGTTAGCAGATGACCTACCTCTTTTAAAACCCTGGGTTAGTTGAGACTTTTTAAAGTATAATAACAATGTGGGCCAGAAAAGCCTGTGGATTTTCTAAGCAGAACTCAAAACCAAACTGAATGGAATTTTATTTAAGAGATGCAGGTCAGGGCAGCTGTACAGCAATTGCACACAGGTTGCAGGAGTCAGGGGAAATTGTGGTAGCCATGTAGGAGCCACACACACACAGGGCTGGAGACAAGTAGCTGGACTGCTGGAGCCACAGGAAACTGCAGGGAGCTGCAAAAAGCTGTATGTGTGCCCCATGGGGTGGGAGCAAGGATGGGCAAGGCAGGAGAGGAAGCTAAGTCGGGGCAGATAGGAGCTAGGAGCACTACTGTTTTTCCTTAACCTAGGTGGCTAGGTTTGGGTTTCAGTTCCTAGAAGTGGAATTCCAATCCCAGCTCTGGCCTGGGCTGGTGACTTTAAAAGGCCTCAGGCATACTGCTTTTTCATAAATTCATGCCACAAAAGTTGGGCACCAAAATGAAGCCCGATTAATAAAAACTTAGAGGGAGAAATTGGGGTTCAACCTGAAGGTCAGAAAAGTAAAACAGCCATCCACTGACTCTTACCTCTACCTCAGTCCAAAATGGTACTTTTGCCTCCAGGAATCTCAGAATGAGACTGAGACTGAGAGCTGTCTCCTCCTGTTTTATAATTCTCTCTAGGGCTGGGATCAAAGGCATGAACTTCTTGGTTTCTATGGCAACTAGTGTGGTTACTGGGATTAAAGGTGTGTGTTAGCACTACCTGGTCTGTAAAGCTGACCATTAGGGCTATTTTAACTCTGATCTTCAGGCAAGCTTTACTTATTAGAAAAATGAAATGTCACTACAAGCTCATAGAAATTGTGTCTTACCTCAGCTCATACAACTTTATGGGAAGACCACAAGGAGAACTCAAGGCAAAGCCACCCAGGCATGATCAGCCTTTCTCTTTCTATATCACATTGTGTGTTAGTGTAGCTGGTGCTAGTCAAAGTCAGATGTGGTGGCACACACCTGTAACCCTATTACTTGGAAGGCTGAAGTGGGAAGAGTAAGAGCTTTAAGCTAGCCTGGGCTACACAACTAGGTTCTGTCTAAATAAACAAAGCTATGTTATTCTGAATATGGACACCAGCTGATCTTAGTATTTGAAAAATGCATACTAAGGTTAGGAAATGTTTGCATGGAGTCTAGGCTTTATTTCATTTCCATGTATGGGTGGCAAAGTAGCTGTACTAGGGCACAGTTGTGAGCTTGGAACATCTGTATTTCTATTTATTTGTTTCTTTGTTAGTTTTTGCAGTTGTCATAAAATAATTATTTCAGAATATAAAGTAAAGCCGGGCGGTGGTGGTACATGCCTTTAATCCCAGCACTCAGGAGGCAGAGGCAGGCAGATCTCTGTGAGTTTGAGGCCAGCCTGCTAGTTCCAGGACAGGCTCAAAGAAACCCTGTCTCGAAAAACAAAAAACAAACAAAAAAAAGAATATAAAGTTAATGCTAAATTAAGATGTATGATGTTATCAACGTATTTATAATTTTAAACAGAAGAGCACTGATGTGGACTATATGGGCAAGCTGGGACAAAGCAGCTAACTAGTGAGACTCCAATGCATGATAGAAATCTTTTAGGATTACTACATTTTACAAATACATACAGCCCTTTGTCTCTCTCCCTCTTCTTTCCTTTCCCCTTCTCTCCCTTTACCTTCTCCTGTACCCTTTCTCCTTTTCTCTCTTTTGAGATAGTCTCAAAGCAGTTCTCAGGCTAGCCTAAAATACATTGTATAACCCAGGCTGTCCTCAGTGTGTCTGTATTTTAAGGATGTTGATTGAAATATAATATTCATTAGGAAAAATGCACAAACCATAAAGAGCATGACTTATAAAATGAACTTACCTCTATAAGTAACTATTATACAGCTGTTTTGAAAATACCTTGAACATTCTTTCTGATAATAAAGTTTATTTGCTAAAAAGACCACTGTACTAAGGGACTATTCACCATTTCTTTTACACCTCTTTCTAGAATAAATTAACAAAAATAGTAATATATGGAATTAGGCTGGTCATCAACATTTACTTAAGATCTGTTTACTGGGTTTATTTAGTCTTTTCTGATGTTTCTCTTCTTCTTCTTTGTTCTTTCCCCCTTTTGTCTAGGTCCTGGGAGGAATGGAGAGGGGTCCTAGTGACTACCTTCTCTGAAAGTGGTCAGAGAGTTCTTAAACAGGTCTGTCAAATCTGGAATACAAATAAAAGTTGGATTTTTTTTTGAAAGACTTAGTTTCAACTAAAAGGATTGAATTAAGAATAAACTTTTAGGTTTTTTTTTTTTTTTGTCACTACAGTTAGGCAAGCATTAAACCACTGACCTATCTCTGGGTCCATATACTTTACTCAAAATTTTTAATTTATGATACGTGTATGTATGTGGTAGTATGTGAATGCCATGGTGTATGCATGGAGGCTGGAGGTAGGAGTTATTGCTCTCCTCCTACCATCTGAGTTTCGGGGAGATTGAACTCAGATCATCAGGGTTGGCAGCAAGTGCAGCTGTTTTCTTTACCTGCTATGCCATCTCACTGGCTAAACTTTACCGTTTTAAACCAAGTTATTTGACCTCAGTTTACAACAAAATATTTTACTTCGGTAAGCTGCATTTGGCATGTAGGTTTAATAGTTATCTGTTTGATAAAAAAACATTTGGCCATGTGGGGGTCAGCCTATAATCCCAGCACTTGGCTGAGGCAGGAGGATCATGAGCCTGGGTACATACTGAGTTCCAGGCCAGTCTGTACTACATAGGAAGACCATGTCTCAAAAAAAGTCACCACCAACAGAGCATGTTGAGTCATGTCTTTATTGTGTCAAATATATGAAATACAGATGAATTTTTTATTGGTTTTATAGGAGGAATCAATAATAGATAAAGAGGTGAACTTACCAACTGTGTATGATTTTGGAAGAGAATACAAGCATAGATAAAATCTCCAAAGTCAATTATTTATTTGCCCCTTTCTGATGTTCTTAGAATTCCCAACAAGCTCCCTTACAGGTCTCAGAAGGTCTAGTGTCTTTGTCATCACCAATCAGCATTATCATTATGCAGATACAAACTTGCCTTTACATTGGAATCCCCTGGTATTCTTGAATTTTTGATCATCGCCTGTGCCCATTTTTAGACAGTAATCGGTTCAAATTGTTGATCTTTTTATTTTATTTATAAACACATGCACATATAACTTACATGCCTACACATACCTCCCACCCCCATCATTTGCCTTTTCTTTCATTGTGGTGCTGGGATTTGAAGGCAAGGCCTTGCTTGTGCTAGGTGAGAGAACTCCCTCAGCCCTGAGATTTGCTTTTCTGTTGGTGATAATGATAGCAGGTGGGTTTTCCCCCCTTATATTGTCATTTGTTTTAATTTCCTGCCTTTTTTCTTGAAGAGTTTTGTTTTGAGACAAGATCTTACTGTGTAGCCTTATCTGGCCTGGAACTTGTTTTGTAGACCAGGCTGGCCTTGTACTCCAGCCTCCTGAGTGCTAGAATTAAAGGTGTCTGCCACCATGACCAGCCATTCGTTTGTATTTGTCAGTCTTAGGGGGTTTTAGATTTTGAGTCATTAAATAAACCTTTCCCACTTGAAGTTACAAATATTTGTTCTGTGTTTTTGTAATATTAAAATGTAGAGTTTCACCTATTATATTTGAAGTTTTTGGTCTGTTTGGGGTTATCTTATTGTGTAGCAGGAGAAATTCAATTAGTCTCCCATCCACCTACATAAGTTTTCATAGTAATATAACTATTGAGAATATGACATGTGTCAATGTTCATTAATGCACATATATTGCATGTATGTTGTCTATGCATGTGGAAGATAGAGCATAGCAATCTTCTCTCCTAGAAGCCAGAGAGGACTTTGGATGACACTCTCCACCTTATTCCTTTGAAAAAAAGCCTCTCAGAACCTGGAGCTAGACTGGTAGCCAGCAAACCACAGTGATCCCCATGTCCACCCCACCGTGCTGTTAGAGTGCCTGTGCACACATGGCCGTGCATTTTTTTCATATTGTGCAAAGGATTTGGATTCCAATTCTTAGCCTACATAGCAATGACTCTCTGTGTGTGGAGGCTGCTTGTTCATTTCCCGGCCACCCAGACCCAAAATAATCAAACAGAAGCTATATTAATTACAACACTGCTTGACCAATAGCTTACTCTTCTTTTGAACTAACCCTTACTTCTTAATTCAACCCATTTCTATTATTCTGTGTATCTCCACTAGGCTGTGGCTTACCAGTGCCAGCATGTTACTCCTTCAACAGCTACATGGCGTCTCCCATCTCCCTGATTCCACCTTCTTTTCTCCTCTATCTCTGCTTGGAATTCCTGCCTTGCTCTATTCTGTGCTGCCATAGGCCCAAAGCAGCTTCTTTATTAACCAATGGTAATAAAACATATTCACAGCATACAGAGGGGAATCCCATATCACCTCTCACTCACTGAGCCTTTCCCCAGCCCTTATTAATGTGTTTTAATCTGATAGGACTTAATTGCTTTCTCTATTCTCATTTTTCAGTTTTCCTACAAACCTTAGAATCAGGTTGTTTTATATTATAAATTATTAAATTATAAATTAAATTATAAATTCACACATGTGAATCCTCACCTATGAGGGTACTATTTTATCCATGTCTTAAAAAATTTTGTTTAAAAATGAGTATTTTTAAAAATTTTTTATGTATACAAATATTTTACCTTCCTGCTTGTGTGTATTTATGTGCACCATGTATGTGCCAGGTGCCCAAAGAAGTCAGAAGAGGGCTTCAGATCCCCTGGAACTACAGTTGTGGATGACTGCAAGCCACCATGTGAGTGCTTGGAATCAAACCCGATTCCCCTGCAAGAGCAACAATGAGCTATCTCTTCAACCTCCTTCATAAATATTTTTAGGTTTTCTTTTTATATCTTGACCTTTCTTTTTAGTTATCTTAAAAATTTTAACTTTCTTGTCACTACTAAAAATGAGATCTTACCCCACATGTTGATAATTACATAGGTAATAAATGCTGTTTTTTCTATATATTAATTTTGCACAATGCTGCTTTGCTAAATTTTATTATCTGTCCTTTGCTTAACTTTCAAATATACAAATCTGTCATTTTCATTAGTTTTATATTCTTTCCAATTTTTTAACCTTTATTTCTCATTTCATTTACTGATTTTATACATCTGTGCTCCTGACTTCACTGATATACTCCTCTCCTCCTCCATAAAGCTGCTGCTGACTCATGCTTGTTTTCTGTGTGTGGTGCTTCTTCCTTGAATTACACACTAGCCCTCACTTTTGTGTTGAGAAAATAAATTTTTATCATGTTAAGAAGACTTTTGTTTTTGAGACAGGGTTTCTCTGTGTAGCCCTGACTGTCCTGGAACTAGCTCTTGTAAACCAGGCTGGCCTTGAACTCACAGAGAAAAAAGCAGGGGTGGGCACTAGGGAAATTAAGTTTAGTGGCAAAATAAAATGTGTGTATAAAATCCTAGATTTAGAACCCAGTACTGGGGACATGGGTAAGTTACATCAGTGGAGATGACCACATAACATCTTCCCTCAGTTTCCTGATACCAAGTTTGCTTTGAGTTCTAATAACAGACTTCACTTGGCCATGGTGCATTATTATTCTTTTAAAGAACTACCAGATTCTGTTTGGAATTTGACTGAAAGTCTTACACACCAAACAGTGTAATTAAGGTTGATGTGTAGCTTTCTGCCTCCGAATCGTGTTGACTTTGAGTGTTTATATTTACTTCATAAAGTGAATTGAGGGGCTGGGAAGATTGATTATTCAGTAAAGGTGCTTGCTACCAAGCCTGATTAACTGCATTCAGTCACTGGGACCCACAGAGAAGTGGAAGGAGAGAACCCACTCTGAAGTCGTCCTCTGATCTCCATGTGAGCACAGTGACATGAGTATGCCCACATACATGTAAAATAAAATAAATGTAATTTTACAAAGAATTGAAAGTTTTCCTGTATACTGTGTGCTCTGGAACAACTTCAGGTCATTAGATTTCTGTGTTTGTAAAGTATTGTTTTTCATTCCACTTGTGTATGGTGCTTAGGGGTGACTGGGATCCTGTAGGTGGTCATGGTGGAAGCTTGAACTATGAAGAGGTGAGAATGAAAAATCTGGTTCATATTGACTTGGTTCATCTGGATCAAGACTTAAGGGAGTCTGATACCAGGTGGTTTATTCCCAACAAATTGAAACACATTATAATTTGGGGGAAAGTTTCCTGGTGTGATACAATCCCTGGAAGGAAAATAATTACATTGAAACTTAACTCAGCTTAAAGGCCTAAGGGTCTGGCCTGGTTTTAGTCATACAAATAGCATAGAGATCATTTAGGCAGCTCTGGTCCTGGTTGTGGGAACCTGGGGGGAGTCCCTGGCTGTACAGAAAATATAAGGGCCATTTAGACTACTGGGTATCTCTGGTCCTGGTCGTAGGATTTGGGGGAGCCCTTGGCTGTGAAAGTCATTTAGATTACTAGCCAACTCCAACCCTAGTTGTAGGAGCTTGTTATGACCTGGCCCAACAGATAATGCAGATTACCAGGTTATTAAGCACTTCCAATTCCCAGCTTTCTGGATGGAAAAAATAAGTTTTTCTTCTTTACCATTGGGAAGATAATCCTGTGTACTTAACATTCCTGGTTTCCCTGGAGATCTGTGGGCTCAAGGACCTTTGTGCTGAGCTCTCAGCAAAGGAAGTATTAAAATATTTACCTTATAGCTGGGCATGTTGGTGAATACCTTTACAGGTGTATCTCTGAGTTCAAGACCAGTCTGGTCCACATAGTATGTTCCAGGATAACCAGAGCTATACAGAGAAACCCTGTCTCAAATATATATATATTATGATGAACAAAACCTTGACCAAAGTAGTCATCAATTCTTTTCAATCTCTTTGTCTTTTTTGTTTCTTTCCTTTTTCAGTTTTTCAGGACAGGGTTTCTCTTTGTAGCTCTAGTTGTTTTGGAGCTCACTCTCTAGACCATGCTGGGCTCAAACTCACAGAGATCCTCCTGCCTCAGCCTCCCAAGTACACCACCACCAACAGTTTGTTTTCTTTCTTTTCTTTCTTAAATCAACTAGTTATATAACTATTTTAAAAAACATTCTTCCGATATGAAAATATTTGAGCTGAGCATGATAGCCCCTACTTGTAATCACAGCACATGAGGAGGTGAGACCGGAGGATTGCCAGGAATTCAGAGTCAGACTTGGCTGTAGAGTACTACCTGACTTACATTTTTAAAAACATTATCAATTTTCCTATTTATTTTTATTTATTTGAGATAGAGTCTTGTGCAGTGCAAGCCTCAGACTCTTCCTTGTAAGACTGGCCTTGAACTCTTGATACTCCTGCCCTACTATCCCTCTCCTCCCTAGTGCTGAGATCACTAGCTTGAACAGCTAGGCCTGTCCATTTCTGAGGCTGGTTAGCTTGTTTGGTTTTGTTTTTCAAGACAGGGTTTCTTTTGTAGCCTTGGCTGTCCTAGAGCTTGCTTTGTAGACCAGGCTGGCCTAGAACTCATAGAGATCTGCCTGCCTCTGCCTCACAAGCACTGGGATTAAAGGCATACGCCACCACCTCTGCTTGGCTTCCCTTTAGAGTTTAGTGAAGAAAGGGTCTTGATGTGTAGTTCAGAACGGCCTTTAATTTGTGCAACTCTTGCCTCGGCCTCCTTCAGGCTGATTGCAGGTATGTCCTATCAATGTATTTTTTTTCTATTTTCTAATTGAATTCTGTTTTATTGATGTCTCGTTTTGTTCCTTATTAGCTCATTTTAATGTTTTTTTCTAACTTTGAGTCAGCTATTTAAGTCATTTATTTACTTCCCCTTACCCCTCTTGTAGATATTTTATGACTATGAATTTCTTTTTTTTCAAGTTTAACTTTCTATTTTTATTAGCAATCAAAGGAAAAAATACATCAAAGTGTCTCTTTTTCAGCCATTTACTCAAACAAAACAAACAGGAAATCTTTTCAGCTTTGTGATACTCTAATTTTCCAATTCAAGCAATTATTAACAGTAGCTAGACAGATGATTCAGCAGTTAAGGAGTAGGTACTGCTTCTGCAGTAGACAGATAGTCTTAGCATTCATGTCAGGAATCACAATGCCTGTTTCTAGGGTATATGATGCCTCTTCTGGCCTCCAGAGGTACCGCACTCACGTACATTAAAGATAAATACATAAAGTAAGAAATTAGAGGCAGCAGTATCTCAAAATTGCTAGACAGCAAGACTCTGCTCACTCATAAGTATACATAATTTAATGCAAAATGCCTAAAAGATCATAGTTGATATGAGTAAGTCTAGTTCTTATCTTTCAGTCATGGAAAGCATAAGGCACACTGATCAGTTAAGAAAGTAATCAGTTTGGGGATGAGAGATGGCTCAGCAGTTAAGAGCTCTTGATTTAACCGCTTTTAGCCACAGTCCAGTTCCTAGCATCCATGTCAGTTTTAGGGACTGGATACCCTTCTTTGACTTTATGACCACTGGAACACACATGTGCATACAAACAGAAACATAAGAACATAAAGAATAAAATACATCTTTCAAAATTAATCAGATTGGTCAAAGAGGGTATGAGAGATGATTCTAGCAGAAATGTTTGAAAAGCAATATGGGGTATTGCTCAGTTGCTTAGCATACATGAAATCCTAGATTTCATCTCCAGCACTACATAAATCAGACATTGTGGTTCATCCTATAATCCCATTAGGGAAGACCAAAAGTTCAGGATCAGCCATTTGTGGTGGTAGCACATGTCTTTAATCCCAGCACTCAACAGGAAGGTGGACCTCTGTCAGTTCAAGACCAACCTGGTCTTCATAATGAATTCCAGACAAGCCAAGGCCACAAAGTGAAACCATGTGACAAAAGAAAGAAAGAAAGAAGGGAGGGAGGGAGGGAGGGAGGGAGGGAGGGAGGGAGGGAGGGAGAGAGGAAAAGAAAAGTTCAAGACCACCTTGGGCAATATACCTTATATCTCAGAGACAGAAATATGTTTAAAAAAACAACAAGAAAAATCTTTGGTTTGGGTCAATAATGGGAATCTGTAGCCTGAAAACAGAACCATGCAAGTGAGGCATGATGGTATGAATCTGAAATGGTAGCGTTTCTGAGGTAGACTCAGGAGGGTCAGAAATCCAAGAACAAACTCAGCTACATAGGTTTGATTGAAGTCAACCTTCCAGATTCAAGTGGGGGCCATTACTTTAAAAATAAACAAGGCAAGCTGGTGGTGGTGGCATGTGCATTTAATCCCAGTACTTGGGAAGCAGAGGCTGGGGAATCTCAGGGAATTCAAGGCCAGCTTGGTCTACAAAGCAAGTTCCAGGATAGCCATGACTACACAGAGAAACCCTTCGTGAGTCTTGACAATCTTTGCCATTTTGTCCACTCGAATACAGAGATGAAACTTGCATACCCAAGGACTTCTGCTCACTGCCACCACCCACAGAGGCACGACTGAATTTCTTCCTCTCAAATTGCCTGTATTCTTTGGTTCCTTTATGTAGTATTGATTTACAGTTTTCTAGAAATTTTGAATTTTTGCTTGACATTTTTTTCTTAACTTGAATCCATAGGTTTTGCTGTTCCTTTAAGATGGAAGACTTGTTTGTTGGTTCTATCTTGAGTCAATCATTTTAGTGCACTGTTTATTAGAGTATTTGAGCACTCTGTTATTTCTTTGGATGTATTGAGATTTTTCCTTATGGTCTAACTTTAAAAGTACTTTTTTCTTGAGTTAAAAAAGCAATTAAAAATAGTTTTTTCTTACTAACTACTACCAGTGCATATCCATATAAAATGTCAAGATTATAAAATAAATATTGAGCTGGCAGGATAGTTTCTGAGGGTAGGGACACTTGGCCAACAAGCCTGATGACCTAAGTTCAGTCCCTAGGATGGTAGAAGAGAAGAACTGATTCTCACAGGTTGTCCTCTGACCTCTGCACACTGTGACACATGTGTACATATGTATACACACACTACATAGATATTTTAAAGATTTTAATCAGTATGTGGCAATAACAAAGTTATAGCACCCCAGTTAAATATGTTAAAGTCTAATACTATCTTGTTAAGATAGGTAATTTTTTTCTGAAGCATGCCAAAATAATAAAATTTCCATGTTTAATTTATGTTTGCCATAAAGAATGCTTTACAATTTAAATTAAAATTTTAATTAAAACTATGATATTGTGAATAAAATAGGAAAAGGCAACTATACTTTATGAAGTTTAAAAATCAATATTCTGTTAGATGATGTGAGTCTAATATTCAGTGTGAATAGAAAATAATTCTGTGGGGCTGGGCAGATGCTCAGCAGTTAAGAACTCTACTGCTCTTCTAGGGCACCTGGGTTGGGTCCAGCACCCATGTGGTGGCTCACAACCATCTGTAACTCTTCTGGCCTCCAGAGGCACTAGACACACATATGTTGTACATATATAAATGCACACAAAACATCCATACACACAAAATAAAGAAATCTTTAAAAATTTATACAGAGGACAATATTTGGCTCCAAATATCTATAGGCAGTTTCCCTGTTTAATTAGGCAGGTTTAGGAATGAAAGTCTGGAGAGTGATGGAAGCCAGAGTTCCCAGTTCTGTGATTCTTATATGAAGCTGGTTTGGGTTCCTGAGTTTTGCTTCTACATTCTGTATGAGTGGTAGGGCATGTTTTAAGATTTCCAATGAGAATTCTGATTTAACAATTTCTAGAATTCCCATATTGACTTTATAACTTACAGTGTTTGTATTTTTTACCCTGATATCTTTATAATACTGTGGTTTTTCTTTCCTCTCTTTTTTATTTCTCTCTCTTTTTTTCTCCTTTTTATTTCCTTTCCTAAAGAATTCTGATTTGGCTGCTACTTTGAAATACAAGCCCAAAAGATGCCACCTTGTTTGGACTTAGAGGATGACATGGATAAGTGATAAAAACTAAGACATTTTGGTAAGTGAAACTTTATGTAAGACAATTTGTTAAAAAGTCTATTTTATATGTATTGTGTGTGTTTTCCCTCATGTATGTACACTACATTCATGCAGTTCCCATGGAGGTAAGAAGAGGTTGACAGATGCCCTGGAACTGAAGTTACAGACAGTTGAGGTTCTCCATGAGATTCTAGGAATTGAACCTGGATTCGAGCCAGTGCTCTTAACTGCTGAGCCATCTCTCTGATTTCTTTCACAACATGTTATCAGTATATAGAGAATCTGCTGATTTTTATTTGCATGTGTGTTTATGAGTAGCCATGGAATCCAGAAGAGGATGTTAGGTTCCACTAGAACTGGACTTATAGGCAAGGTTGTGAGACACCTGACATGGGAAGCAAGCTCTAGTCTTTACAAGAACACTAAGCTGCTGAGCCATCTCACTAGTCCTGCTACTGGTTTTTTCTGTAAAATTTGTATATCTAATTTCTTATGAAAAGTATTTTCTAGCCCTACAAACTTTCTGGTGAGGTCCTTAGGGTCTTTTAAGTATATAATCATATCTGTATACAGAAGTGATTTGATCTCTTCTTCCTTATTTCTATGCTTTTTATTCACCTGTTAAAGAATTCAAGTACTCAAAGAAAAAGAATTCAAGTACTATCTAGGAGTGATACCATACACTTTTATTTTATATTTTGCATAAACCTTTAATTTCAGCACTCTAGAGGCAGAGGCAGATGGATCTCTTTGAGTTCCGGTACAGCCAGAGCTACATAGAGAGACCCTGCCACCCCCCCCAAAAATGCAAACATACAACAGAGAATTCAAGCACTATATTTAGTAAGAGTATTGGGAGGTAGAGTAGGGCTGAAGAGTTAGCCTAGGGCTAAAGAATACTTGCTATCCTTGCAGAGAAGCCAGGTTCAGGTCCCAATACCCACATGGCAGCTCAAAATCTTCGGGTCCTCTATAAGAGCAGTATGCCCTCTTTAACTGCTGAGTTATTTCTCCAGCCTCTGTGTCTTATTTCTATTTGTATATGTTTGTGCCACCAAGAGACATAGAAGTCAGCAAACATGCAAGAGGCAATTCTCTCCTTCCTCCATATAGTTTCTGGACATTAAACTTAAGTTTGGCTGCAAGCGCTTTTACACCCCAAGCCATCACACTAGCTAGCCCTCAGTGTGTGTTAACCATTTTTTTGATTAGATCTTCTTGGTTCAATTTGGGTAGTTCATATATTGAGCAAAGTACCCATTCCTTCAAGATTTTACAACTTACTGTAAGTTTTCAAAATATTCCTAAATGATCTTCTGAATTTCACTGCTTTCATAACTCCTTTTTAGTCTAAGTATGTACATATGTATGTATGTATACTTACTTTTTTTTTTTTTTTTTTTTGAGAAGAAGCCTTTTGTATCCCAAGCTGGCCTTGAACTCTTTTCATGGCCGGATCCTCCTGCTTCCACCTTCCATGTGCTGGAATCATAGGTGTGTATCACTGTGCCTGGTTTATGTGATGCTGGGGACAAAAATCCAAGGCTTTGTGCAAGTTAAGCAAGCACTCCTCAATTGATCAACTGATCTACATCTCCAGCCCCTTAATTTTCTTCATTAATCTCTATTTTGGTTAGTTTGGTTATATTATAAAAGAACTAACTCTTTGTTTCATTAATGTCATATTTTTGTTTTATTCATTTCATTAACACCTGTCCTAGCATTTTTTTTCTTTCTTTTTATGAAAAAAAGTTGAAACATTTTTTATTTACTACTTGTTTCTGTAGATGGCTTTGGTGTGTGTGTGTGTGTGTGTGTGTGTGTGTGTGTGTGTGTGTGTGTGTGTGTATGTGTGTGTGTGTATAGGTTAGAGGACATTTGTAGTTTGATTCCCTCTATGTGGCTTCTAGAGATCAAACTCATCATCAGGCTTGGCAGCAGTCACAGTTAACCTGCTAATTCATCTCACCAGCCCACTGATTTTTTGAGACAGTCTCAGATTTGCAGGCTAGAAGCAATGTGTTTGCTTGTTTAGCTGTCTCACCAGCCTGTGTTACGGCTTTCCATCTACTAATTTTGGTTTGACTTGTTCTTGTTTTACTAAGACCTTGACATACATCGTTAGGTTATTTTTCTTGCAATTCTTCCTTTTGAAATGCCTGCTAAATTAAATAGTTACAGGTTTTAGGCAGTTTCAAGACTCAGTCTTTTCTCTGGCTAAGCAGCAGCTTTTAAGCCTTAGAAACCGTTATTGGTTTTATTTATTTACTTCTAATATTTATTAGAATTTTTGGTTTTTGTTTGTTTGTTTTGAGACAGGGTTTCTCTGTGTAGCCCTGACTGTTCTGGAATTCGCTTTGTAGACCTGGCTGGTATCCAACTCAGAAATCTGCCTGCCTCTGTCTCCTGAGTGCTGGGATTAAAGGGATGCACCTCCGCTGACCAGTTGTTTATTAGAATTTTAAAAATGTAGCTGGAAAGTAAATAAAGTTGTTTTACAAAGGATTGTAATGCTGTTGTTTTGTTTGTTTGAGACAAGACTCTGCAGCCTAGGGTGGGCTCAGACTCGCGTTTTCCCTGCTGAGATTACAGGTGTGCACTGTCACACTCCCCTTCTTTATTTCCCTGTGTCCCTCTGTATGTTTCTCCCAATATCCTAGTCCTACCAAACAGTAGCATATAGTATTATGAAAGGAAATTTTACTTAGTGAATAAATGACATCTTTTAGAGAAGTCTGGATGATATGTTAAATAATAACGATATGTTGAGTATATGATGATATGTTATAATACTCTGCATTCCCCCCTTGTTTTTGAAGGTTTTCTTATTGTTCACTTTGCATATACTTCTGGAATAATACACCATGGTTTTGGATGACCTTCCAAACTTCGAAGACATCTATACTTCCCTGTGTTCATCAACAATGGAAGATTCAGAGGTGGATTTTGACTCTGGACTAGAAGATGATGACACAAAAAGTGATAACATTTTGGAGAATTCCACAATTTTTGTAGCCTTCAAAGGAAATATAGATGATAAAGACTTCAAATGGAAACTGGATGCAATATTAAAGAATGTGCCCAACTTGTTACACATGGGTAATTGCTTTAATTTTTCTTCCTTCTGATTACTCTTTTGAATGTTTGCCCTTTCATGGTTACTGTTAGTTCTATAGAGTAAATTGGAAGGCTGGTTTTAGGTGCAAAGGTGGAACCTTCCCCTGCTGTTAGCATGTCTTGTTACTATCATTTTTTATTTATTTTTTAGTTTGTGTTTTAGAAAGAAGTCAGGTTTTATTACTGAAGACTGAGGTTATAGTCTTTATTACAATATACCTATTTATTTTGTATATGTAAGGTGGATATGTGCCATAGTACATGTGTCCTTTCTCCATGCAGGAAGCCAGGATCAGATTCAGGTCATCAGCTTTACTGGTGGGTAGCTACCCACTGAGCCACCTCACTGGCCCAGATTGTATTTTTGACTCAAAAACATTTTGTCAGATAGTCTCTGATATGATGGAAATTTTAAAGGCTTTTATTTTCTCCCTAAAACAGGAATGTAGCCTAGGCTACCTTTGGTATAGTGATCTTCCTGAAACTTTGATTCTAGGATTACACATGTAGGCTATCTTGCCTAGTTTTAAAAGTTGCTAGTACAGTTTAACTGATTGTAATTAAACATTTTCAACTATATTAACATTAAGACTAGTATAAAGAACATGGATAAGTTTCCAGTAATTATCAGATTGGAAAGAAACTCTGTCTCTGGGATCCACAGTTTTTCGGTGTTTGGAGACATGTCTCCAGATGTCATGGGAAGACAATAGTCAAACCTCAGGGCTGGATTTTAATGCCATGTCTGATTTCATTAGGTAACTACAGCTTTCTGAATCACTTAGCCTTTCTCTGGGCTCCAATTTCCTTACCTGCAAGAGAACTTTGACTAAACATTGCTAACCATTTTCAAATTTTGTGAGTATATTAATCCCATTGCCCTTAGCAAATGATCTGTTTTATTGTTGTTTTACATTAGAGCAAGTGGATTCTGTATTAGTATTTAGTATCTAATGGTTTAAGAGCTGGAAGAGGGGTAAGTGACATGTAGGAACTCTCACAGGTATCTGGATTTTGAGAAAGCATATTCCTGTATGGCTATTTTATTAATATTAAAAGATATACTTGAATAAAGCATATAAACCATTTAGTTGACCTGAGTTAATAACAAAAGGGAAATTATTTAGTCTGAAGCTACCAGATAGCTTTTATTTGCTGCCTTGTCTAAAATGTAATTGTAAACAATATTACTCAGTTAATCTCTCAAACTTTGATTGTAAATTACATGTAACCATTTTTATATGTGGTTTAATGGTACTTAAATACAGTTATATTTTATAACAATCACTAGCAGCCATTTTTATAACTCCTGTCTTATAAAATTAAAATCTATACCTATCATTTAATAACTTCCCCATTCCTTCCCTATTTTAGCTCTTAATAAGCACCATTGTACTTTCTATGATTTTTTTTTATTAAAAAATTAGATTTTTTTTATGTGTATGGGTATTTTGCCTACATGTCTGTAAATACCCCACATCCATGCATCGTCCATGGAAGACAGACGAGGGTATCAGATCTGCTGGAACTAGAGATATAGCTAGTTGTGAGTTGTTATGTGTGCTGGGGATTGAACCTCTATTCTCTGGAAGAGCACTCAGTTCTCTAAACCACTGAGCCATTTCTCCCCGCACCATGATTTTGACTATTATACAAGCAGAATTGTGTAGTACTTGGCTCTTTATGACTGCTTTATTTCATTTAGCATAGTATTCTCATTGTTTGTCCACGCTGTAGCTTGTAATGGGCTTTTCTTACCATTTCAGGCTGAATATTCCACAGAATGTATGTCTATACCACATTTTACTTACCAATATTTATCATGTTACTTCCATGATTTAGCTGTTGTAAATAATCCTGCCATAAACATGGATATAATTTTCCATATCCTGCTGTCAGTTCTTTGGCTGGATACTTAGAATTTAAAATGCTATATTGTATAGGTTTTTTTAAAAAAATATGTACCATATAATTCTCTTAGCAGATTGTACGATTTATATATTCCCATCATTAGTACACAGGAGTCCCCAGTTTTTCCATATTATTGCCAATATTTTCTATAGTCTATTTTTATAATAGCCATCCTTATGTGATATGGTATCTAGCTACTTGATAGTGGTTTTTAATACACAAAATCCTTAAGAAGTCTAGTGTTTCTATTGTTTTCTTTTGTTGCTTGCCCCTTTACTGTTGTATCCAAAAAATCACTGCCAGATCCAAGGTGGTGAAGGTTTGTTACTAAATATTTTCTTCTTAGACTTTTAGGTCTATAAAAATGTTCCATTTTCAGTTAAATTTTGTATATATTAGGTTAACTTCACTCCTTATCATGTGTACACATACTTCCCTCAGAAACTAGTTAGGTTTTTTTGTATTCTTAAAAATCTGTCCAGAAGTATGTGTCAGTTTCAGAATTGTAGAATGTTAGATGTTTTTCTGTCCTAAAGGAAGCTTACCTGTTGTAGTGCGAGCTTTTACTGTTTTGGCTTTTTGGGGAGCCTGACACCCAGCTCCCAAATCACACGCGGAGGCTTCTTATTTATGAATGACCAGCCTTAGCTTGCCTTGTTTCCCACTGGTTTTTCGTAACTTAAATTATCCTGACTACCTTTTGCCTCTGGACTTTTTTCTTTTCTTACTTCTGTATATCTTTCTTTCACTCCTACACTGTGGCTGGCTGGCCCCTGACATCATTTCTTCTTGTTCTCTTGCTACTCCTCCTTTCTCATTTCTCCTTCTGGCTCATCCCTACCACTTCCTGTCAGCTAGTTGCTGTCGCAAACTCCTGACTGCAGATGAATTTTACTTAATCAGACACATCTTTGCATCATTAAACAAATACTCCAGAGCATAAACAAAAGTAACACACCTTGAAATAGTATTCTCCAACAACTTGTTGAATGTATGTTTTCCTTCCTCAGTTTGTTGTGCTTCAGTGGGATCTGTACTCTTACCTAAAGTAGGAATTTTTGTTTTGTTTTTTAGTTGCACATTCTCTGGTGTCTACAAAATTGATAATTTTATTCTCTTTTCTTTATGACCAAGAATCCAGCAAGCTAAAGGTACAGAAAGTGGAGCCTTGGAACAGCGTACGTGTCACATTCAACATCCCCCGGGAAGCAGCGGAGCGGTTACGGATCCTGGCTCAGAGCAACAACCAGCAGCTTCGGGATCTGGGGATTCTCTCCGTTCAGATTGAAGGTCCTTTACTTTGCCATGTCCCCATCTGAATCAAAATACAGTAACAGTGGTATTCAGCATAGTTTCTGATGCTGCTTTGTCTGTTCTTCTGCTCTTTATTTTTGAGACTCTCAAGCAACTGTGTATCCTGTGCTTCATGTTGCAGTACCTTAGAATAAAGAAACATTAAAGTATTACTGCAGCCTGGAGCATCATTCCTTTGGCTCTTTGGCGTTCAGTCTCAGACTTTAGTTTTACTTGTATCCTGCAAGGAACTGACTTGTCTATTTGAAGAATATCTAATTTTAATTGCTTTCTTTTACTGAATAACTTTATTATTTCCTTTGTTTATCTAGCAGATTAGGGAGTCCTGAACAATTTTTTGTGTTTATCACTAGAGTGACCCTCTTGAATATAAAAACATGCTCAGCCTAATACATAATATCCAGCTTAAAGTTCTTTTGTTGCTTGCTACTTTTCACAGAAATTCAGGCCAGTTCTTTACCACGACCTCAGGGCCTACACAGTCTCACATCAACCTTCCTCATATAGACTTATGCTAGTTAAATTCCACCCCCACCCCCATCAGCTCTGTTTTCCAGTCTCTTCCAGTTTTCATTTGGTTCTTTGAACACACAGTTCTCCCTTCTGCCACAGATCTTTTGCACTGTTGTCTTCTATAAATGGAGTACTCTCTCATACAATTCCTGTTCATCAAGTGAATATTTGATGTTTAGTTTCTTTAGTTTTTGTAATATTTTGGAGATCTCTTGTCTGATGTGGGGTTGGTAAAGATCTTTTCACATTCTGTAGGCTGCCATTTTGTCTTAGTGACTGTGTTCTTTGCCTTACAGAAGATTCTCAGTTTTAGAAGGTCCCATTTATTAATTGTTGTTCTCAGTATCTGTGCTACTGATATTATATTTAGGAAGCAGTCTCCTGTGGCCATGCGTTCAAGGCTATTTCCCACTTTCTTTTCAATGAGGTTTAATGTGACTGGATTTATGTTGAGGTCTTTAATCCATTTGGACTTAAATTTTGTGCATGGAGATAGATTTGGACCTATTTGCATTCTTTTACATGTTGACATCCAGTTATGCCAGTACCATTTGTTGAAGATGCTTTCTTTATTCCATTGTATAATTTTAGCTTCTTTGTCAAAAATCAGGTGTCCATAGGTGTATGGATAAATATCAGGGTCCTTAATTCAATTCCACTGGTCAGCCTGTTTGTTTTTATACCAATAGCAAGCTGTTTTCCTTACTGTAGCTCTATATTAGAGCTTGATATCAGGGATGGTGATGCTTCTGAAAGTTCCTTTATTGTACAGGATTATTTTGGCTATTTTGGTTTTTGTTTTTCCATATGAAGTTGAGTGTTGTTCTTTCAGAGTCTGTGAAGATTTCAAGGTCTGGGATTTTGATGGGGATTGCATTGAATCTATAGCTTGTTTTTGGTAGGATTGCCATTTTTACTATGTTGATCATACCTATCTAAGAGCATGAGAGATCTTTTCATTTTCTTATATCTTCCATAATTTCTTTCTTCAAAGACTTAAAGTTCTTGTCATAAGTCTTTCATTTCTTTGGTTAGTGTTACCCCCAAGATATTTTGTGTTATTTGTGACAATTGTAAATGGTAATGTTTCTCTGATTTCTTTCTCAGCACCTTTAGCATTTGTATATAGGAAGGATACTGATTTTTTTAAAATATTTATTTATTTATTATGTATACAATATTCTGTCTGTGTGTGTGCCTGCAGGCCAGAAGAGGGCACCAGACCCTGTTACAGATGGTTGTGAGCCACCATGTGGTTGCTGGGGATTGAACTCAGGACCTTTGGAAGAGTAGGCAATGCTCTTAACCTCTGAGCCATCTCTTCAGCCCAGATACTGATTTTTTTGAGTTGATCTTGTATCCTGCCACATTTTATTAGCTATAGGAGTTCCCTCATCTAATTTTTTGGGGTCACTTATGTAAACTATCATATCATTAGCAAATAGTGAGAGTTTGACTTCTTTTCTGATTTGTATGCCCTTGCTCTCCTTTTGTTGTCTTATTGTTCTAGCTAGGACCTCAAGAACTATATGAATAGATATGGAGAGGGTGGACAACCTTGTCTTGTTCCTGATTTCAGTGGGATCACTGTGAGTTTTTCTCCATCTAGTTTGATGTTGGCTGTTGGCTTGCTGTGTATTGCCTTTACTATGTTTAGATATGTTCCTTTTATCCCTGCTCTCTCCAAAACCTTTATCATGAAGGGATGTTGTATTTTGTCGAAAGCTTTTTCAGCATCTAATAAGGTGATCATGTGGTTTTTATTTTTCAATTTGTTTATATGGTGGATTACGTTGTATGTTGAACCATCCCTGCATCTGTGGGATGAAGCCGACTTGATCATGGTGGATGATGGGTCTGATGTGTTCTTGGATTTGATTTGCCAGTATTTTATTGAGTATTTTTGCAACTTTGTTCATGAGTGAGATTGGTCTGTAATTCTCTTTTTTATATGGTGGTATCAGGATAATTGTAGCCTTATAAAGAGTTTGGTAATGTTCCTACTATTTCTATTGTGTGAAACATTTTGAAATTCTTGTAGAATTCTGAGCTGAAACCATCTGATCCTGTACTTTTTTTTGATTTGGAGACTTTTGATGACTGTTTTTATTTCTTTAGCAGTTATAGGTCTATTTAGTGTGCTCATCTAGTCTTGATTTAATTTTGGTAAGTGATACTTATCCAGAAAGTTGTCAGTTTCCTTTAAGTTTTCCAATTTTGTGGAGTACAGGTTTTCTAAATATGACCTGATGATTCTCTATTTCTTCCGTGTCTGTTATGTCCCCCTTTTCATTTTTGATTTTGTTAATTTAAAATTCTCTCTCTCTTTCTTTTTTTTTTTTTTTTTGTTTTTCGAGACAGGGTTTCTCTGTAGCTTTGGTGCCTGTCCTGGAACTAGCTCTTGTAAACCAGGCTGGCCTCGAACTCCCAGAGATCCCCCTGCCTCTGCCTCCTGAGTACTGGGATTAAAGGCGGGTGCCTAGAATTCTCTCTCTGCCTTTTGGTTAGTTTGAATAAAGGTTTGTCTATTTTGTTGATTTCCTAGACGAACCAACTCTTTGTCTCATTGATTCTTTGCATTGTTTTCTTTGTTTCTATTTTGTTGATTTCAGCTCTCAAATAGATATTTGATTATTTCCTGCCATCTAGTTCTCTTGGGTGAGTTTGCTTCTTTTTCTTCTCAAGTTTTCAAATGTTCTGTTAATTCACTAGTGTGGAATTTTTCCAGCTTCTTTATGTAGGCATTTAGTGCTCTGAACTTTTCCTCTTAATACTGCTTTCATTATTGAATCCCATAAATATGAGTATGTTGTGTGGTCATTTTCATTGAATTTTAAGAAGTCTTTAATTTTTCCCTATATTTCTTCCTTGACCCATTGATGATTCAGGTGAGCATTGTTTAATTTCCATGTATTTGTGGGCTTTCTGGAATTAGTGTTGCTGTTGAATTTTACTTTTAAGCCATGGTGATCTGATAAGATACATGGGGTTATTCCAATTTTTTTGTATTTGTTGAGGTTTGTTTCATTACCGAGTATGTGGTCAATTTTTGAGAAGGTTCCATGAGGTACTGAAAAGACGGTATATTCTTTTATGCTTGGATGGAATGTTCTATAGATGTCTGTTAAGTCCATTTGAGTCATAACATCAGTTAGTTCCCTTATTTCTCTGTTAATTTTTTGTCTGACAGACCTGTCCAATGGTGAGAGTGGAGGGTTGAAGTCTCCCAATTAGTGTGTGGGGTTTAAGGTATGATTTAAGCTTTAGAAGTGTTTCTTTTACATATGAGGGTGCCCTTGTATTCAGGGCATAGATGTTCAGAATTGAGATTTCCTCTTGATGGATTTTTCCTGTGACTAATATGAAGTGTCCTTCTTTGTCTCTTTTGATTGATTTTGGTTTGAAGTCTATTTTGTTAGGTATTAGGATAGCTACACCAGCTTCTTTCTTAGGTATGCCTGTGTCTTTTTATAGGTGAGTTGAGTCAATTTATATTAAGGGATATTAATGACCAGTGATTGCTATCTCCTGTTAATTTAGTTTTTATTGTTGGTGATGTTATTCCCTTCTTTGGAATTTGTTGCTGTGAAATTAATTGTCTGTGTTTTTATTGATGTAGCCAACTTCCTTGGGTTGGAGTTTTCCTTGTAGTACTTTGTGTAGGGCTGGGTTTGTGCCTAGGTATTGGTTAAATCTGGTTTTTGTTTTGTCCAACTATGGTGATTGAAAGTTTTGCTGGGTATAGTAGCCTGGGCTGGCATCAGTGGTCTCTTAGTGTCTGCATAATGTTTGACCAGGACCTTCTGGCTTTCATTGTCTCCAATGAGAAATCAGGTGTAATTCTGATAGGTCTGCCTTTATATGTTACATTGCCTTTTTCCTTTGCAGCTCTTAATATTCTTTCTCTATTCTGTATGTTTAGTGTTTTGATTATTACCTTGTGCCAGACTTTTTAAAATGGATGCTGGAAACTAAATTCGGGTCCTGAGCAATCACTTTACCATCTGAGCTATTTCCCTGACCTCTTTGCTTTTTGAGACAAGGTTTCTCTGTAACTTTGGAGCCTATCCTGGAACTGGCTTTTGTAGACCAGGCTGGCGTCGAACTCAGAGATCTGCCTGCCTCTTTCTCATGAGTGCTGGGATTAAAGATGTGCACCACCATTGCCATGCTGAGAATGTTTAAACGAGAAATGCTATTACTTGATGTTACTTCAAAACTCTTCTGCTGAGTGAAGTAACTCACATCTGTAATTCCAGCACTTAGGCTGAGGCAGTAGGATTGCTACAAATATTAAGGCTACAGAGTAAGATCCTGTCTTTTTTTTTAAAGATTTGTTTATTTATTATGTATTACAGTGTTCTGTCTGCATGTATGCCTGCAGGCCAGAAGAGGGCACCAGATCTCATAAATGGTTGTGACTCACAATGTGGGTGCTGGGAATTGAACTCAGGACCTCTGGAAAAGCAGCCAGTGCTCTTAACCTCTGAGCCATCTCTCCAGCCCCAAGGTCTTGTTTTTAAATAAAGAAATAAAGACACCTCCCACCCCCCCAAAAAAAGGAAAAAAAATGCTTCTACTTAAAGTATCTTAACAAATTTAGTATATTAATAGTTCCTTTCCAGTGGTGAGACCTCCAAATCCCATGTTTTCTTTGATTTTCACTCCTGATTCCTATAAATAAGTCTGAGTATTTTACAGCCTCTAATGATTGTTCCTTTATTGGTAGGATGTTGTTAGTCCCCTAGTTAAACTTTACACAGAAAGCTCAGTGACAGGACAGAGGAAAGTATCTTCCTATTAGCTTCTTGCTTTATCTTCAGACTGGTACCAAGATCCTAAGCTATGAAAGGAGTTGGGGAATACAGTCGTTCAAATCCCCAGTGATAGGCGAGCTTATTTTAACTGTCCACAAGGTGAAAATATCTTCTATGGAATATCCTATATTAGTCAAAATTGTGGATTAAGTGCAAGAAGCTCTTGGAAACTTGTTTCAGCAGCTGTTTCCCATTAGGCCTAGGAAGATTTTGGTTTCCTTAGAATCTGTTTAATTGAAACAATCCTATTGATATTATTGCCTACTAGGTGAAACTCAAAGAGAGAAAATATTGAGCTGATTTAGCAGATAAGAACACTTGCTGCTCTTGCAGAAGCCCTGGCTTCGGTTCCCAGCACCCACATAGTGGCTCACAACCATCTATAACTTCAGTTCTGGGGATCCAGTACTCTCTTTTGACTTCTTTTGGTACTGTATAAATATGGTACACATACATGCATGTAGGCAAAAGACTCACAAACTTTTATTTATTTATTTATGTATTTATTTTGCTTTTGTTTTTTTTGAAACAGGATTTCTCAGTGTAGCCCTAGCTTTCCTGGAAATCACTCAGTAGACCAGGCTGGCCTTGAACTCACAGAGATCTGCCCCCCCCCCTCTCTCTCTCTCTCTCACACACACACACACACACACACACACACACACACACACACGCACACACACTGACATACGCATGCGTGCACACCAGTACAAAAGATGTAATGCATAGGTACAACACATGCTTACCATGCAGAAGACCCTGGATTCAATACCCAGCATTGCCCATTGAAAACCTATTCACATGCTGGTCTTACTTTGTGTCACGGAGGTAGAAGAAACTTCTGTCCTTGTCATTAGATGACATCTCTACCACAAACCTGTAGGGATCATTTTGTTGTTCGATGTTTTGTTTTTGAAATAGGATCTTGTATTACCATAGGCTCCAACAGTCTTCCTCCCTCCACCTCTGGGGGGCTGGAATAAGAGGCATGTTCTACCACTCTAGGTTTGTGCAGTGCTGGGAACAGAACCCAGGACTTTGTACATGCTAGGCAAGGACTCTGCCAACTGAGTTACAGTCTCAATACCTGGAAACCTTTTTACATTGTGGTTATTGAAAGAAAATCTGTGCTGTTTATCACAAGTTCTGCTGTCTCTACACCCAATGTAACAGTGATCCCATACTACCCTGCCGTCTCTCCCCATTGAACTTCCTATCTTCATTGAACTTCTTATCTTCTGATTATAAACTCCCAGAAGGAAATGAAGAATTTTGAGTTTCTGACAGTTTCTTCCACTCCCTTTCCTTCCTGTCATCCTTCCCCTGCCCACACACAATTTGTGGTCCAGTTGAAAAATCAATATCCAGTCTTTGAAGCCCTCTGACACTGAGCAACTTCATTAATAATGTAAGAACTGATTATGCTCTCCTTGGGCTTGCTCAGATGGAACGATCTGCATAGGCTAGGATTTTAGTTTCCTGTAATTCCAACATTCTGGAGATAGAGGTTGGGAAGTCTTGAATTTAGAGCCAGTATATAATGAGCTATATAATGGGCTATAATGAACAGTTAGGGTCAGGGTTCTAATACTGAGCTATCCCTTTTTTATAGTGGTAAACTTAATATTAATTCTTCACAAACAGAAAAAAAAATAGTTCTTCTGTAACTGTCTTTAAGCAAGATATGTATTTTACTATGACTACTTACATTTCATAACTTTACTGTCATTTTCAGGGGAAGGTGCTATCAACCTGGCTTTGGGTCAGAACCGAAGCCAGGATGTGAGAATGAATGGACCCATGGCGTCTGGAAACTCGGTTAGGATGGAGGCAGGATTTCCCATGGCAAGTGGTCCAGGTGAGGCCTCCTACTCACTTGTGGGACACTTTACCAGTTTCCTTCTTTAGACTTTGAATTCACAGAGATCCTCCTCATTCTGCCTCCCAAGTACAGGGATTACAGGTATGTACCTCCACCACCAGGCATCGACTTGATTTCTTAAGGTGTAAGTCTTGCCATCTAAATGGGGTGTATAGCATACCTACTTTTATTTACTCAGTCAGAAAATTAAGGCAGGAACTACTCTCAGGAAGGTTACAATAACAAAGCAAGGCTAAGGTCTTTACAGTATTTGGCTTAAAATCTGATGAACACTGAGTCATGGAGTAAACATTTATTAAGTACTAATGTATGACAGGATCTATGCTAAATATTCGAAATGGAAACAAGTAAGACATATTCTACCCTCAAAATGTTTATAGTATAGTAGAGGATGTGACTTTCCACCTTGTACTTTCTCTGAGTCTGAGAATATGTAAGCAGAGTTCCTTTGTCTCATGTGAAATCTTCATGTCTGTGGGATAATGTATTTTTATGTATTTAGAATTTGAGAAAGTTGGCTGGAAGTGGTGGACATGCCTGTGCAAGAGGCTAAGGTAGAATGATCACAAAGGGGGAGGGAAGAATTTAAAAAGAGATACAAATGGTTTCTTTCCTTTTCTAGTAATCCTGAAATTTCTCCTTCAGAGATGAAAGTCAACATTCCATGATTCACAAGACATTAGAATTGAGTTGGCTCTTACTTTTAAAAGCTGGGAAATTGTGGGATTTGTGGAAAGGAAGCGATTTGTCCCAGGTCAAGTAGCAGTGGGCTAATATTCCAGATATTCTCGCTCTCAGGTCAGTGGTCTTTTTAATGCACTGTTGGCTTTGAAACCTTTGAAGCTTCAGGAGTCTATTCAGATAAAGAAAGTCACAGCTGCGTGGTTGAAGAAACTATATGCAGTCAGTTGCTCCATCCCTGACGACCATAGTATTGTTTGAAAGAGATGCAGCAGGAGGAGCTGAGGGATGGCTCAGTGGTTAAGAGCACTTGTTCTTGCAGAGGTACTGGGTTTGTTTCTCAGTAACCACACACAGTGCTCACAGTTGTCTGTAACCCCAGTTTCAGGGAATCTGATATCTTCTTCTGACCTCCATAGGCACTGGACACACACTTGGTGTACAGACATATACACAGACAAAACATTCATACACATAAAATACATCTTTTTTTAATGCAGAAAGGTAGAGGAACTCCCACTTATATACTGCTGTTCTGAACTATAAGCAAAAATTTGGCATAACCAGGCAAAGTGGTGCCTGCCTTTAATTCTAGCACTTGAGAAGCAAAGATAGGCAGATTTCTGTGAGTTTGAGGCCAGCCTGGTCTACATAGTGGATTTTAGGACAGCCAGGGCTATCTAGAGAGACTCCACCAAAACTAAAAAACAAAGAACTTGCATAGAATTAGAATTGGGTTTTTATACTGCCTGTACATTTTATGTTTACCTCAAACTATTTACTGTATTTCACTGAACTATAGTATATGTTTTATTTCCCTGAAATATAGTATGTATATTTCATCTTTATTTTTAAAATAAAATAAGACCTGTAATCATTGGAGCTTATGCTTGATGGTGAGCACTCTCATAAAGCAGGTACCTGTTCCTTAACTTCCTCACACATGCATAGACAAGTTCTCTGTTGTTGAACTCCATCACTGTTGTTGAACAGCCCTCACTGTTTTATACATATGTCAAAGTCTACTGTTGGACTGATGTGAAGTATCATATCATTCATGTGCATGTCTAACCTGGTGACTTATGTAGACCTGGTCCCCCATACAGCTCTGAGCAACTATTAAGGCAGCTTGGTAATAGGTGACTGGGTGGTGGTGGCGCATGCCTTTAATCCCAGCACTCAGGGAGGCAAAGGCAGGCAGACCTCTGTGAGTTTGAGGCCAGCCTGGTCTACAGAGTGAGTTCCAGGACAGCTAAGACTACATAGAGAAACCCTATCTCAAAAGACAAAAATTAAAAAAAAATAGTCATAAGTGGTACCATTACCAATTCTAAAAGAATGAAGGTCAGAAGTACAGTAGGAAAAACCTAGCCACTGTACATGTCCTTAGAGTGAAGAAATAAGTAAACTTGACACGAACGCCAGGGAATCTGGGTTCTGATCTCAACTTCTGCCTATGGGCACTAATACTTTCTGGTCTTAGGTGACCGTGATCTCAACTTCTGCCTATGGGCACTAATACTTTCTGGTCTTAGGTGACCGTACACATCTTCAGTTATATCCTGGACACAGTGTTAGAGATCCCATCAAGTCTTGAATTGTTGAGACACTTGTTAAACTTAGGCCAGCATGATGATTCCAACATCTAGTATCTGGCTAGTGTTCCAGTGCTGTGAGTTCATTACCACATAGAAAACCTTGAAGCAAATGGATTTAGGTTAAATTGGTATTTAATGGAAGATACTGGTTGTGATCATTTACAACACAAAGTATCAGGCTAATTAGTTAGTGATGACCTATAGTTACCATGGTATTTTAACCTCCACTTATTTCTTTATACCAGCTATATTTTAAAATTTCTTTTCTCACCTGTCTATTGGACCTTAATGTATGCAAATGAAGTTTTGTAGTAAGTTAAATTGAGTTGAGAAAATCTGGGCAGTGGTGGCACACACCTTTAATCCCAACACTTAGAAGGCAAAGGCAGAAGGATCTCTGTGAGTTCAAGGCCAGCCTGGTCTACAAGAGCTAGTTCCTGGACAGGCCCCAAAGCTACAGAGAAACCCTACTACACAGCTACTCACAGAAAACAATCATTGGCCCCAAATACCTACCAGCCAAGAATGAAACCTTTAATTAAATGATTATTATGGTATACCCCCAAATTTTGATATTTGCTAAGAGCAAAAAAGAAAAAAGGGCTTTAATTTAGGTTTAGTTGCTAAGAGAAGTAGTGCCAAGATTTATTGATAAGACATTCTAGATACATAATTCTAAAGTTACTTAATATTGTTTCAGAGGAAATGTAAGGTTTCTTTCTCTAGCATGATTTCTCTACCCTATATTCTAAATGCCTTATGTTTTGAAAGGGTAATCAGATGGAAATTGAAAAGTGTTTAGATTTTAGAATGGGGATATTATATATCTATCAAATTTTGTGAAATATGTCCATTATAAATGTTGGAAGGAAAGCTCTCAGGTATTAGTGGTAAACATCAGTGAAAACTAATGAGCTAATAGTTTGACTTAAGAATTGAGAAAAAGGACTAGGTGTGGTGCATGCCTTTAATCCTAGTCCTCAGAAGGCAAGCAGGTGGATCTTTATGAATTTGAGGCCAACCTGATCTATATAGCAAGTTCTAGGCTAGCCAAGGCTATATAAGAGACCCTGTCTCACAAACATCTGTAACCCTACTTCCAGGAGATTCAGCAGGTCTTCTGGCTTCCACAAACACCAGGCATGTGTGTGATGCACGTACATGTACATGCAGGCCAAACATTCATAGACAAAATTTTTCTATCTAAAAAGTTATTAAAAGAAAGTTTTTGTATCTTTTAGAATTTCTAAACTATGTCATTAAAAATTATAAGATGAGTGTGGTGTCTCACCTGTAATCTCAGCCCTTACAGAAACAATTACCATGAGTTGCAGACCATTCTGGTCATTAAAGTAAGATCTCATCTCAAAAAACAAACACCACACGCACACAAATTTGCCAGCTTCAGTATGTTATTCTAGGTACTTTTTTTTCTTCTAGGATTAATAAGGATGACGAGCCCTGCCACTGTTATGATGCCCCAGGGTGGGAACATGTCATCTTCCATGATGGCCCCAGGCCCCAGTCCAGAACTGCAGCCCAGGACTCCTCGCCCTGCTTCTCATTCAGGTAGTGTGACTTCCACTCATTGAGAGTTAAAGAGAGGGGGCTACTTACAGATACAATTGAGATTTAGTCATTGATGTTTAACTTCCAACTACTTAGTTCCAGTGTTTACCTTCCTTACAAAATCTACTATGAATTTCACAGCTAAACATTTCTTCTCCAATTTTCTTCTTATTTTCTTACCAGCTATGTCCTAATATTCTCAAGAAGTATGCTGTCTTAGTTGGGGTTTCTATTACTCTGAAGAGACACCATGACCACAGCAACTCATATAAAGGAAAACATTTAGTTGGGGCTTGCTTACAGGTTCAAAGGTTTAGTCCTTTGTCATCATAAGAAGTAGACTTGGTGCTAGAGAAGTAGCTGAGAGTTTTACATCTGAATCAGCAGGCAGCAGGAAGAAAGAGTAACACTGGGCCTGTCTTGAACACTTGAAACCTCAAAATCCACCCCCAGTGACACCTTTCCTAACAAGGCCATGCCTCCTAATTGTGCCACTCCCTTTGAGAGCCTTGGGGGCCATTTTCATTCAAACCACCACAAATACTTTGACATGCTTAATTCTATAAGAAATATCATGACAAAAAAAATATGACAGAATTTTGAAGGCATATGAATTTGGTAAATGTTTCATAAGTTAGCATGTTGGCAGCACTAAGCTTCCTCCAGTAAAGAAGAAACTTGTTTGAAATCATTAGGTCTAGCATTTCCCAAACCTAGTTAACTATTTTATTTTGTTTTCCTTTAACAGTATTTGGCCAGAAATACAATTTTGAAAATCTTGTTGTCTATATTTTATGTTTAGGGTGCCTTACCACCAATGAGCCATCAGCTGTCTTTAAGACAGGATTCATCTTTATATCTGTTGGTATGCTGTTCTTAGAAGATACTCAAGAGCATGGTGATATCAATGGTACCAGCAGATCTAACCCAGTGTGTTTTGATGAATTGCAGTAGATTAATTATTATTCACTATCTTTAAACAGATGCAATGGATCCACTTCTCTCTGGACTCCATATACAGCAGCAGAGTCATCCCTCAGGATCTTTACCTCCAGCACATCACCCAATGCAGCCTGTTCCTGTGAACAGACAAATGAACCCAGCTAATTTTCCCCAGCTGCAGCAACAGCAGCAGCAGCAACAACAACAGCAACAGCAGCAACAGCAGCAGCAACAGTTGCAGACAAGACCTCCACAGCAACATCAGCAGCAACAGCCACAGGGGATTCGTCCACAGTTTACTGCTCCAACTCAGGTGCCTGTTCCTCCAGGCTGGAACCAGCTGCCTTCAGGAGCCCTACAGCCTCCGCCAGCCCAGGGCTCTCTGGGCACAATGACTGCAAACCAAGGGTGGAAGAAGGCTCCCTTGCCTAGCCCAATGCAACAACAGCTTCAGGCAAGACCTTCCTTAGCCACGGTACAGACACCTTCTCACCCTCCCCCTCCTTATCCCTTTGGCAGCCAGCAAGCCTCACAAGCCCATACAAACTTTCCTCAAATGAGCAACCCAGGCCAGTTCACAGCTCCTCAGATGAAGAGCTTGCAGGGAGGGCCCTCCAGGGTCCCAACCCCCCTGCAACAACCCCACCTCACCAACAAGTCTCCTGCCTCCTCACCCTCCTCCTTCCAGCAGGGATCCCCTGCATCCTCCCCAACGGTTAACCAAACTCAGCAGCAGATGGGACCAAGGCCACCTCAAAATAACCCACTTCCCCAGGGATTTCAGCAGCCTGTCAGCTCTCCAGGTCGGAATCCTATGGTTCAACAGGGAAATGTGCCACCTAACTTCATGGTGATGCAGCAGCAGCCACCAAACCAGGGGCCACAGAGTTTACACCCAGGCCTAGGAGGTGAGGAACACTAACAACCTTGTGTTGGTAAATTTACTGGAAATTTGAGTAGAATGTCAGGTTTTAGTGTTAATGGTGGGAGTAAAATGAGGATATAATCATTTGGTTTTGTGATATGGTGATGACACTTGATATATAATTTAGTTAACTTAATGTATTTTTCTTGATTACTGTGTAACATCTTATTGGTTAAATATAAGCTAGCTCTCTGGATAAAAATGAAGGTAAAAGTCAAAATAGAGATGTTTGTTTTGTTTCAAATTACTTTTGATTAATCTTGTACTTGTAAATTAAAATGTCCAGACCAAACATGTATTTTATTAATAATTTAAACTTCTCATTTGTTGAAGGATTAAGATTATACAGTTGAACAAAGATGAAAAGTACAGGGTTTTATTGGGGAAAATGCCCTTCTACTTATCAATTTTGATAATCCTAGTTAGTAAAATAGTAAGCATGGTATTTGTTAAGCTTGATTAAAGTATTAAAGAGGACTAAGTTCAAAAATCTTTACTTTTATAGTTTTATAATGCCAATGCCTACTCCTTAGAGAGGGAATTCCACTAGTTATACCTAAAGGAGATTTATTTATTTATTTTGTAAGGTGCCTCTTGTATGAAGAAAAAGCAATGGAACTTAATGTGTGAGAGGTAAAACGATTACAGTAAAACTTATCCATCTCCATGTTTATTATTTATTCTTATTAATCATTGATCTAGTGCACATGACTGTGCTTGGAGCTTTTCAGTAAGGCATAGAGAGTGTCAGTAAAACTCATTTAATTTAAGAATATCCCCCACCAAAAGACACCCATTGCCTACCCAGAAAAAAACCCTTGCATCTTCAATGCAACATAGCAAAGGCATGCTCCCATGATTTCTGGTGAAATTAAGTTGCTCATCAGTCCTTTCACTCTCTTTTAATTGATTTTGATGAAATACAGGCTCTAATATTTTAATTCTAAGACATTTTTAGAAAATGTAAGAATGTTTCTCCTTCAAACTTCACTATTCTGGGCATCTAGCCCTAGACCAGTGGAATCTGGGTAGTCCCTTCTACAGATATGATTACTGACTTAATTACAATGAAAGCATGTAAATGGGGGCTTGTTGCTGCTAATGGAAGGACAAATGCATATTTGTCTACAAAGAGTTTTTCAGGGCATTGAAAATTTGGCCCTAATAAACAAATTTTAAGAGAACTTTAGGTATTGTTGCTTTCTTAGAGCAGTTGCTATGCTCGCCTAGGTGGTCTGACCACATCAAGACCTGCGGTATGCACACGAGTGTATCTGAGATTCTCTTTATTGCAAACTTGTTTTCTGAAACTAGGCCTTCCAAAAGGATGTAAACTTGAGTAAGATTACATTAGAGCATAATTTTTGGTACCATAGCTATCAGAATCACAGCAGATCTTACAAGAGAAAGGCATAAGTTTAATACAGCCTCACTTTGAAGCTCCTGTGAACTCGTCTCTTCCAAAGAGATAAGCACAACACTGGTGGGGGAGGGAGATTTTTCTGCAAAGATTATCATCCATTTTCCTCAAAGAGGGGGAAAAAATCACCCATCTATCCTTAATCGGGACACAACTCTTTCTTTTATAGTATTTCATATCAGTTTGTTTGAACATGAGAGAATTTAGCATATTCCTTTGGTGCCTGTGTTATATAAATGTTGGGAGTCCATAGTATTACAGAGAAGTGAGCCCTCAAACCTTGCTATGGTATGGCCTTAGATCACATGTAGAGAGCAGATTGCCATCTTTTCCTTGGCATGTTCTAAGTGTAAATTTTTTAGTATTTCTTTTTAATTTTGACAGTGCTCATGTAAGGGATTGTATTGATTTTTTTAACCATCTTTCCCAACCTTATTATTAAAGATCCTACCAGTGTGACAGAAAGAGCTAAGCCAGTGGAAACTTCATGCAGCTCATCCTTCCTTATTCATTCCATATCTCAACAAGAGTATAAATTTGCTAGGTAACTTGCCTTACTCATTGTTTTCTATTAAGGAATGCCTAAACGCCTCCCACCTGGCTTCTCAGCAGGACAGGCCAATCCGAACTTTATGCAAGGTCAGGTGCCTTCCACCACAGCAACCACCCCTGGGAATTCAGGAGCCCTTCAACTGCAAGCAAATCAAAATGTCCAGCATGCAGGTGTGTGTACTTTGATTTAATTAGTTATGTTTATTGTGCATTGATGATGTGCTAAATACCTTGATACATAGAGATATATAAATGAACAAGTTCTTTAATTTCTCACATATAGATAATCTTTAGGAAATATGGAAAATAAGTTATTTTTTTCAAGAACCAGGAAACACCTTAGGAAAGAAAGTAAAACTTCAGTTAGAGAAGGAGTCATACACATGCATGAACACATATACACACACGCACACTTTTCTGTAGCACGAGTAATAAAAACCCAGAGACAGATATTGGGGTTCAAGCTAAAGATCAGAAAAGCAAAGCAGCCAGCCTCTAGAAAAGTCTTACCTCTACCAAGGCTGGACAACTGTAGATTGAGCCCAGAGCCTTGGTTTTTATTATTCGTGCTTCACTTTTCTTTCTGTAAAGGGCTAAATAGTAAATAGCTTAGGTCATTCAGCCTGTATTGCAGTTATTCAACTCTACTTAGTGAGGACAACAGTATTCCAAATCCTTGCCTGTTTTCAAAACAACCATAGGCCTGATTTGCTGAACCCTGAATTAGAACTTGCTCAGGTAAAAGGTATTTCTGGGAAAGGAAACCATAAATTCATAGTTATATGGGTATTTGGCATGTTTGAATATCTACAACTTTTTGGGGTTTTTTGTTGTTGTTGTTGATGGTGGTGGTGGTGGTGGTTTTGTTTTGAGACAGGATTTCTCTGTAGCTTTGGAGACTGTCCTGGAACTAGCTCTTGTAGACCAGGCTGGTCTCGAACTCACAGAGATCCGCCTGCCTCTGCTTCCTGAGTGCTGGGATTAAAGGCGTGCGCCACCACCACCCAGTGAATATCTACAACGTTTAAAATCTCTGGATAGTACATATTATCTTCATTTATGCTGAATATCTGAATTCTGGTATGCATTATGGTACTTCTCCAATTCAGTTAGTACTAAAAGTATAGTATACATAAGAAAGTTTGGAGAGAGCTGGAGAGATGGCTCAAAGGTTAAGAGCAGTGATTGCTCTTCCAGAGGTCCTGAGTTCAATTCCCAGCAACGACATGGTGGCTCACAACCGTCTGTAATGAAAGCTGGTGCCCTCTTCTGGCCTGCAGGCATACATGCAGACAGAACACTGTAAACAAAATAAAGATGAAAGAGAGAGAGAGAGAGAGAGAGAGAGAGAGAGAGAGAGAGAGAGAGAGAGAGAGAGAAAAGGAAAAAAAGAAAGTTTGGAGAGAGGTAACATACAGTGGATTAGCTAATAAGTACTCATTAAAGCAGTTTTGTAAGCCCAAATTTCATGTTTCTGAGTTTCTTCTGATTGCTTAGGAACTAAGAAATTTTTTGCCCCTTCTCATTGAAGTAGTTTGGACTAAGTTATCTTAAATTTTTCTGAACACCAACTTTCATTGTAAATTGCTTAAAGAATGAAAAAATTCTAGGGCCTGCAAGATGTCTCAGCAGGTTGTAGCCTTCCTTGCCAATGGGCATAAATGCACATACATTACACATCAGATACACATATAACAATAACAATAAATAGATAAAAATTTATTTTTTCAAGAAATAAGAATGAGGGACTAGAGTGATGACTTTGTGTTTACAAAGGTTTTCTACTCTCCCAGAGAACCTCCACGTAGTTCTCAGTCTCTGTGTCCATCACTCACACCTCCTGTACTTATGGCTCCAAGAGCTCTGGCACCCTCCTCTGACTCCATGGGCACCCATACACATGTGGCTTGCATTCACACAGATACATATACATAAATAAAAATTTTTTAAAAATTAGTAAGTGTGAGGCTTGGCATGGTGGCACACGCCTTTAATCTTAATGCTCATGAGGCAGAGGTGGAAGGATCTCTTGAGTTTGAGGCCAGCCTGGCCAATATAGTTCCAATATAGCCAGGACTATATAGAGAGACCGTGTCTCAAAAGAGAAAAAAGAATGGGAAAAATTTTTGACTTAATAATTAAAAAGTTCATACTGTCTCTTGAAGGAACTATTTGATTTTTTTCTATCTTCTAATATAAAACTGCATTTCTGAATTATGTGAGTTAATGTTTTATAGGAGGTTTAAAAATGTATAAAATTCATAATTCTTGTGACTGAAGAGATGGCTCAGTGATTAAGAGCACTGGGTTCTCTTCCAGAGAACTGGGGTTGCTTCCCAGCATTTGCATGGTGGCTCACTACAATTTCAGGGAATCTGAATCCCTCTTCTGGCCTCCAAGGCACCAAGCATAAATGTAGTGTATAAACATATATATAGGCAAAACAACCTGTACACATAAAATAAAAATGATTTTTTTAGCTTATAATTTTTCCCACACTGTTTATCTTTTTAAATGAAGACTTCCATATGTACCTACCATTTTGTTTTCTCCATTTAGTCTTTCTAAAGCAACATCCTCTTGTTTGTCATTCTAGTCTGTTACCCTGTTTTATTTTTATGTTAACTTTTATTATTTTTTTAAATATTTATTTATGTATTATGTATACAATATTCTGTCTGTGTGCATATCTGCAGGCCAGAAGAGGGCACCAGACCTCTTTACAGATGGTTGTGAGCCACCATGTGGTTGCTGGGAATTGAATTCAGGACCTTTGGAAGAGCAGGCAATGCTCTTAAACCACTGAGCCATCTCTCCAGCCCCTTAACTTTTGTTATTTACTGAAAAATTATCTTTTTATATTTTGTCTCTTGCCAACTATGCTCTAAAGGAGTAAAGGTCTTACCTATCCTGTTTACTGATACTAAATCAGCACTGAAAGTACCCATACTTATTGGATACTCAATAAATAATTGTTGCTTGAATGACTGTATACTTGTATATGCAATGTACATGGCATATACAATGGTCATGGAGTTCAAGTTTGAATTTATGAGGCTGGTTCAGAAAGCCTTCCTGAAATTCAGAAATACTTGTGATAGTGTGAATGGACTAGTTTTGTAAATTCCTTAGACTGACACTTTATAGTGCCTATTTAAAGTAAAATAAATAAACAAACATAAATAAATAGAATGACAGAGATAGAGCATGATTTGTTTGGTAAAGAGCTTGCTGTAGAAACTTGAGAACCACAGTTTGGGTCCCAAGAACCCACATAAAAGCTGAGTGAGTGTGGCAGCTACCTATAGCTGCCACGCACATATACAAACATACATCAAAATGACAGGAATAAAATAAACTGCATGAGCTCAACTGATGTATAACTCAGTAGTAGAGTTATTGCCCAGCATGTAAGAGGCCTTTAGGTTCATTGTTTTTATTTTTGATGTTTTGAGATAGGATCTCACTATGTAGCCTAGGCTCACCTTGAATTTATGACAGTTCTCTTGCCTCAGCCCCCCAGGTGCTAGGATTCCAAGCATGAGCCACTATACTCAGCTGAGAATTTTTTTAAGCCAAACATAATAGTGCACATAAACACAGGTTGGATCACATTGTTTCAGAGCAGCCTGCTGTATAGTGAGGCCCTGTCTCAGCAGAACAAGCAGTAAGCTTGAGGGTGACTCAGGTGAGGTAGAGTGGGAAGGTAGCTCTCATAGAATGCATGCTAGGTATATGGACAGCCCTGGGTTCACTCTCCAGCACCAGAGTAAGATGTGGGGATAAAGTAGGTAGCTATAGGAAAATACCAAGGGCCCAACTACAAACAATGTAACAAACCAAGACAGTACCTTTGGTTTAAAGAGAACTTAGAACATGACCCTTGTGGTCCACTAGGGACTGCCGCAGAGTAAGGTCACTAAACTCTTAGCATCCTCCTGTCCACAGCTTTCAGATTAGAAATTTTGTCATTTTTCGGTCACTTCAGTTGAAGAACCCTCTTCTTAGGAAATATTATATATTATCTTCAAAGTGCAGCAACCAGATTTCATATGTATAGGATTGAAAAGCATAATTATTTTCCCAAGAAGTATTTTTAAAATGTCTTTACAGTATTCCATCTTTTTCTAGAGGACACTGGTACATTCTTCGTTTCCTCATTTACTCACAATCGAGCTCATTTTCTAGCTCATGATATGATGATTTGTTCATTTTATTCACAATAGGTAGTTATAAGCCTTGTTATAACAGTGCTAATACTTGATTTAATTCTAAAGTGAGCTTTATTTTCTAATGTTATGTTTGAGTTACTATATAAGAGTAAAGATAATGTTCCTCCGGCTGTATGATCATGGAAAACATAAACAGTTACCCCATCCTGTATCAAACCTCCAGAGTCTAAAATACTCACAGAAAGTGTGTCAAGCACAGTACATTTATGTTGGTTATTAGATACATGGATGATGGGTGTCTTACTAAGTAAGGCAATTTGGGTATCTTAATCATGATAATTTTTTGTTCTTTATTTTTGTTTAAGGTGGTCAAGGAGCTGGTCCTCCTCAAAACCAGATGCAGGTATCTCATGGGCCACCAAATATGATGCAACCCAACCTCATGGGAATTCATGGCAACATAAACAACCAGCCTGCTGGCAGCTCTGGGGTTCCTCAGGTGACCCTGGGCAACATGCAAGGCCAGCCTCAGCAGGGCCCACCATCTCAGCTGATGGGCATGCACCAACAGATTGTACCCGCTCAGGGCCAAATGGTCCAACAACAAGGAACTTTGAACCCTCAAAACCCTATGATCCTTTCAAGGGCCCAGCTTATGCCACAGGGCCAGATGATGGTGAACCCTCAGAACCAGAATCTTGGGCCTTCACCCCAAAGGATGACCCCACCCAAGCAGATGCTTCCCCAGCAGGGCCAACAAATGATGGCACCACATAACCAGATAATGGGGCCTCAGGGGCAAGTTTTGCTCCAGCAGAACCCAATGATAGAACAAATAATGACCAATCAGATGCAGGGGAATAAGCAGCAATTTAACACTCAGAACCAATCCAATGTCATGCCGGGACCAGCACAGATAATGAGGGGACCAACTCCGAACATGCAAGGAAACATGGTGCAATTTACAGGACAGATGTCAGGACAGATGCTGCCTCAGCAAGGGCCTGTAAACAATAGTCCACCTCAAGTTATGGGAATTCAGGGGCAGGTTATGCGGCCACCAGGGCCCAGCCCACACATGGCCCAGCAGCATGGTGATCCTGCTACTACAGCAAATAATGATGTCAACTTGTCTCAGATGATGCCTGATGTTAGCATGCAACAAACCAACATGGTCCCCCAACATGTGCAGACCATGCAGGGAAACAGTGCTTCGGGAAACCACTTCTCAGGCCATGGAATGTCTTTCAATGCACCATTCAGTGGTGCACCCAATGGAAATCAGATGTCTTGTGGTCAAAATCCAGGCTTCCCAGTCAATAAGGATGTAACATTAACAAGCCCATTGTTGGTCAACTTATTGCAAAGTGACATTTCTGCAGGACATTTTGGTGTAAACAATAAACAAAATAATGCCAGTGCAAATAAACCGAAGAAGAAGAAACCGCCTCGGAAGAAGAAAACTTGTCAACAAGATCTAAAGTAGGTTATAATCAGTTAACCTCAAATATTGCTCGTTTGTTTTTGTGTAGACATTTATTGATATTTAAAATTATGACTGGCGATATGGCTCAGTAGAATGCCTGTGTACCGTGCACAAGGTCTGGACATAAACCAGTGTGGCGCTAGAGTACTCTAACCCTAACAGGGTATGGTGGCAATAGAATCAAGAATTCATCCTCTAAAAATTTGAATTTAAGAGAGTACAGTAGGATTGTCTAGCAATTATCAGCTCATAGTCTATCTTGTATTCATCTGTACTCTTTTCCATTTTCTCTTTGTTTTATAAATATGTAAATTTGCTTTGTAAATATGTCAGTGCCATTTTAAATGATATGGTTCTTTTATATAATCACAAAATAATGTTAGTGTGCCTAAAATAATTTTTTGTTGATTTGGTTTTGTTTGTTTGTTTGTTTTATTTTGTTTATTTTGAGACAGGGTTTCTCTGTTGTAGCTCTGGCTGTCCCGGAACTCAATCTGTAGACCAGACTGGGCTCAAACTCAGAGACCCTACTGCTTCTGCCTCCTGAGTGCTGGGATTAAAGGTGTGCGCTACCACCCCTGAAAATTGTTTCTTAATAGTTTCCCAATAGTGTTCACATTTTTTCTGTTTCTTTTTTCTTTTATAGTTTATTTGTTTAAGGATTCAAACAAGAGCAATACCTTCCAATTGTCTCATAGATCTCTTAATTCAGCAATCTCAGTGGGAGTAGTGTCCCTCAGCCTGAAAAGTGATCAGTGCTACCCCACTGCCATTCCACAGAGCTGAGACTTCAGGGTTATCCTGGCTCTTGGGGAATTGGAGAGACAAAATGTGTTTGGTGAAGGAAAACTGCTCATGGAGATACTCTGCCACCTCTCAATTGAAGGAAACATTTACTTATTTATATGAGTTTCTTTTCTCTAAAAGTTCCTTATCTCTAAAAGCTTAAACACATGATTGCCCCTGTTAAATCAGTTTTCCGTACAGTAAAAGTTCCCCAGAGGAGCTCTTTCATAAGCCACAATAAGAAAGATAATTAATAGTTACAGTTCATATTCTAAAGCTACATATTCAGTTATGTTTCTGACTCTTGACTAAATGTTTCCTGAAGGGATATTGTCTAAGGTGGATTTTCAGCCTTTAATCATAAAACTGGAGTTCAGAGACATTATTAACAGGGACTGATGACTAACGAACATGAAGCAGTTGTAGACAAAGTGCTAGGCCACGTATGATGACTTAAACTTATTATCACTGAGGAAGCAAAGACAGGAGGCTTGTGTGGGCTACATAGACCTTAGAGAGAAGGGGGAAGACTGACATAAAGACCAGACAGAGAGAGAGAGAACTCAAACAGGAGCCTTGTTTAAATAAGCTCAGCTTGCTACTTCTTGAATCTTAAAAGCCAGTCATTGTGTAGTAGCAACATATGTTTTCATGAGTTCAGACTTAAACGTTCCACCTCGTTTCTTAATACCTGGTCCTCAGTTAAATTCCTGCTATTATCAACCTGTCTGACTAATTTTTTTTTTAATGGTGATAGTTATTTTTTTTCTCTCTAATAGGCTGAAAAATAAATTGCAGTTATTTATTTGCCATACGTATAAATTTTTGCTCTTGTCACCAGCCTCCTAAGAGATTTTTACTGTTCACTGAACATATCTTTTAAAGGACCTTGTACACCATAGGGGTTCCTAGGAAAAAGAGACTATAGACTTAATTGAAAGATAGCCTGCCTCCAGTTCTACTGTTAGTTTACTGTGAAACCTGTCTTATACAATTATGGCTTCTGTTTTTACATCCATAATAAGAGGGGGACTGAAGCAGATAATTGAATTTAGTGGATTTCGTTTTTTTTTTTTTTTAATTTTGTTTTAGCTGTATTTTTTTTTTTAAGTGAGGATACCAGGAACTCCTCATTTGTGACTTGAAGTAAGGAATTACATAGGGAACAAAGTAGCAATGATGTGATTATATTTAGGATGTTACATGCTCACAGTTTTGGGGGTTTTCTCCTCTATTTTTTTTTATGTGTATGGGTATTTTGGATATGTGTATGTCTGTGCACCAGTGTATGTGTGTCTGGTTCCACAAGAGGCCAGAAAAGGGTGTATGGTCTCCTGGATCTGGAGTGACAGATGGTTGGTGAGTCACCATGAATGTGCTGGAGATTGAACCTGGATCCTCTAGAAAAACAGCCAGTGATCGTGATCTCTGAGCCACATCTCTAGTGGTTTTTTAAGGAATTTATGTGATTTATACAACTATTTAGAGTATAATGGAACAAAATACTATCTAAAAGTGAATGGATGACAGTAATCAGATCAAAGGGAAGGTAAGGTAGGAAAGAAAGGTGCAACTGGGAATAAGAAACAAACCAAATGAAGAATGTAATTAATATGATTTCTCAAAAATGTGGATGTTAAGTCAGGCAGTGGTGGCACACACCTTTAATCCCAGCACTCATTGTTGACAGAGGTTTCTCTCCTGCCCAGTCCTGCAGCTATTTAGTTCCAAAGAAACACACAGAGGTCTACATTAATTATAAACCGGTTGACCTATTAGCTCAGGCTTCTTATTAACTCTTACATCTTAAATTAAACCATAATTCTTATTTGTGTTAGCCACATGGCTTGGTACCTTTTATCAGTGAGGCATTCTCATCTTGCTTCCTCTGCATCTGGGTGACAACTGCAGACTGAGCCTTTCTTCTTCCCAGAATTCTTCTAGTCTGGTTGCCCCACCTATACTTCCTGCCTAGCTACTGGCCAATCAGCATTTTATTAAACCAATACAAGTGATAAATCTTTACAAGATACAAGACCATTGTCCCATAGCATCTCGGGAGGCAGAGGCAGATGGATCTCTGTAAGTTTGAAGCCAGCCTGGTCTCTATAGAGCAAATACACAGGGAAAACCCTATCTGGGGGAAAAAAAAAAAAAAAAAAAAAAAAACAAAGTAGAAAATGTGGATGTTAGTAGGAGAAAAGAAAGGTTTCATTTTTTTTTTTCCTTTTCCACTGAAATTCTAAGTTACAAAAAGAATCCTAATGCCAATGGTTATGTCTACAAGTGTTTGTTCTGAAGCAAAGGTAAATAACTTTGTTGTGGCCACAACAAAGTTGTGTATTTCTTCTGAACACCATCTGTACCAGTTACCTTACAGATGTTGAGTCATTGGCACCTGGTTTTAATTTAGTAGCCACACTGGATACTTGTTTTGCGGGTATAGCACTTCAGAATATTGGTAGCTCAAAATCCCAATCAATCATTACCTAAGGGGTGTACCATTATATGAAACATTGTATCAGAAATTAGAAGGAAACACTAAATTCAGTGCTAAGATTAAGTGAATTTTAAGGCTTAATGAAATGGCCAGTTTATTCATGACAACATTGAGTGTCCAGACTAGAAAGATATAAAGCATAAGAATGACATATAAGCACATTGTAGTTGTAGGTAAGTATTCCTTCTACAACTTACTTGATTTGTGCTACTTATCTTTTAGCACCCCAGATAATCGTCCAGTTGGTCTAGAGGAGGCTGATCAACAGTCATTACCTGGAGAACAAGGAATCAACTTGGACAACACAGGCCCTAAACTGCCAGAATTTTCAAACCGGCCACCAGGTAATAAAATATTAACTAAAATTGCATACTTTGCATTGCATTTGCGCCTTCTTTCTCTTCAAGGAAACAGTAATGCTCTGCCTACTAACTAGTCTGCTTCAGAAATGTAATGTGTAAGCGCTGCATTGATATTTAAGTAAATACTTAAAGTATAACTTCTGTAAACATGCATGTCAATTCACTCTTGCATGCCTGTTTAATTGGCTTCATTTTAAGTCCTCAAATTAGACTGAATAGAAAGTGCCTTTTTTTTGATCAGCATTGTAGTTCTAGTTGGCATCAGAATAAAATATTATAATATAGAGAACTTTATACTGTATCCTGCTTGCCTGCAATTCTTTTCCTTAGACTTTCTCAAAGCAGAGAACTACTACTAGAATTTAAAACAAGGTGACTTTTTTAATAAAAATTTTATTGTGATTCTTTAAAACATAAGCAGTGTATGAAAAGTAACAAAATACATGTCAATATAACTACTGTCAGCTTAATAGATTATAATGAATAGTGCCAATAGTAATGAAGCCCCTTCTTTGATTATAGAATGTTTTCTTTTAAATGTTAAAGGATGTAGTAGGTTTATAAAAATCTAAAATCATTCTTCCCAACCCAGATACCACAATATCTCTGTCTGTTTTTTCTTGGCATAAACAATGACTTTACAACTTTATTCTAGAATGACAAAGGTTCACAAGCCCTCTCCTATGGATATAAAGAGTTAATTCAGCCAGCCTGGTCTACAAAAAAAAGTTCCAGGACAGCCAAGGAGACACAGAGAAACCCTGTCTTCAAAAACTGAAGCGGGGAGGAAAGAAGAATTAATGCTTTATTTCTTCCTCCTGAGTAATCTCACCTCCATTTTGGCATATTAAAAATACTATTTTAGGACTAACCTTTAATCTATCTTTCATTTTTATATTTCAAAAGTATATTCATTATGATGTCAAGACTCGATGTTACTTATTACAAACTGCTTAGCATACTAGATTTGTCACTCATGAGCCTGATAGGTAGTCTCTAGTCCTTGGTGAATATGTTCAGAAGACGTTGTGATCAGGAAGGTAGGTCCCTCTTACCTCAGACATCTGAACTCTTATGTGGATTCCAAAATTCCTTCAAACATTTATTGCCTCCTTTCTGCAGTCTGGGAACCTGTAGCCTGAATTTGGCCTTTAATGGATTTGAATTGCTATTGGTGTCTAAACAAATACCTGAGTTTAATTCACTTTAGAAATAGTCAGTTGCTCTGTAGTTGGGCAGTGGTTTATGCAGCCTAATTTCTTTTCGACTGCCTGGCCCATAAAGGCATAAGGGCTTTGTATTCCTTGACTAATAAATGTAGTTATTGATTGTGTTATGGGACATTGTGTGTACCTGGCTTTCCCTCTCACCCCAATCACCTTCCTATCACTAAGCCCCTTCGAGCTGTTTCCTCCAGCTTCTGAATGGTTCCTTTAAGCCTTTAGCTCTGACCTCTGAGAGGCTGTTGTGTATGCATATTACTGTCTTTGGTGTTTATTGTGCTGTCTGATAAACTCACTTTAAAGATGAAAAGCATCTGTATTATAACCTTGACACAAACACACTTTTTCAGAAATTACAGTTTTCTTAATGTAGAAGCCCCAGACTGACTATATAAGAACCTGTTGTGTTTTACCCCTTGGAATGCCAGATTTACAAATGTCAAGAAGTTACTTGGGCCTAAAACAAAACAAAAACAAAGGATTTTAAAGAAAATATTCAAAATTGAACCAGGTGTGGTGGCACACACCTATCTATAGTCCCAGCATTTGCAGGGTGGAGGCAGGAGAGTTAACAGTTCAAGATCATCCTCAGCTATATGAGTTTAAGGCCAACCTGGGATACTTGAGACCCTATCACCAAAAAACAAAGACAAACAAATAAAAAACAACTTCAGAACTGGAGTCTGCTCATTGGTATCATGGAAGTCTTTACCTAGAAGACAATAACTCTGTCGAGCACAGAGTCTGACCAAAGTGTTTGGTAGCCACTCTAAGAAAATCTTGGCCCAGAATTTCTTCCAGCTGCCAGAGCCACTTAATCATGTTCTTGCACTTTCTGGAAACCTTCCAAATTATTTTTCATGCAACAGTGGAATAAATGTAATTATGGAATCACATCCCCAACATATGCCCATTTTCCTACTCTGAACCGCCGTGATTCTTGTTTTAATTTGAATCTTCCTTCCCTTTATGATGATTGTATAAAGTTTTTATTCAGAAACTTCAAGTAAATCATTATAAAAGAGGGAATCATAATAGATGTTGCCTTCTGCAAATCTAGAAGGTATTATTTTTCAAAATTTTTATCCCCAAACTACTTTTTATTCCTGAGGTTTGTGCTTCTGGCTTTATTATTTTCCAATTGTGGATTCAAAGAAAATACTTTTCCAAATAAAATTTCTATATACGAAAGTAAATAGAGACAAATATGCATAAAAACTTTAATTCTTCATATTATTTCAACATAACAATCAGTCTTTATACTCTCTGTTTATTAAACTGATACAACCTAGGGGCAGTACAATACATTCAGTTTTCCTCCAAAGGATGGAACGCAAAGGATACAAAATGGTATATGGAGACCACGGACCAGAATAATTAAAATCCCATTTTAAAGAACTCAAAAAAAAAAAATCTCAATCCTAGAATTATATCTTTTACTTTAATTGAAGGAATAAAAGGGCTGTTTTCATCAAAACCAAGTCTTGAGAAAAATAAGTCCTCTGCTACGAGAAAAAGTGATTTCTAAATATGTTATTTCATATACACAGTGAATTACTGATTATTTTGATTATTTCTACATGAAACCTAAATAACTGGGCAGCCAGCCATTTGCTGTTGGTAGAATTTTCTCTCTTCATGTTCAGCTCATAGATTTATAGCACATATGCAGTCTTAATACAGTAATGCTTCATTCACAGCCTAAAGGGGCTTCATATTCTTAATGCTTTGCTTTTTGCTTCCTTAAGCAGCGTGCCCCCTTGCTTGTGTCAGATAATAAGGGGCTGTCCTGGGAGCAGCATGCCTGAGCTGTTTGTGCACAGTCTGCTACCTCTGAGTACTGCTTAGCTATACTCTACAGGTAGCAAAGTTTTCTTGTTGAAAATCTAACTTCCCTGATTTTGGGGGGCTTATTTTAGGTTATCCTACTCAACCAGTTGAACAGAGGCCAATGCAACAGATGCCTCCTCAACTCATGCAACATGTGGCACCCCCACCACAGACACCACAGCAGCAGCCACAACCACAACTGCCTCAGCAGCAGCAGCAGCAGCCACCACCACCTAGTCAGCCACAGTCTCAGCAGCAGCAGCAGCAGCAGCAACAACAACAACAAATGATGATGATGCTCATGATGCAGCAAGATCCTAAATCCATTAGGCTTCCAGTCTCCCAAAATGTCCATCCTCCACGGGGTCCTCTGAACCCAGACTCTCAGAGAATGCCCATGCAGCCAAGTGGCAATGTACCTGTTATGGTTAGTTTGCAAGGACCTGCCTCTGTGCCACCATCACCTGATAAACAAAGAATGCCAATGTCTGTGAATACTCCTTTGGGAAGTAATTCAAGGAAAATGGTATACCAGGAGAACCCACAGAATTCCTCTAGCTCACCACTAGGAGAGATGTCCTCACTTCCTGAAGCTAGTGGCAGTGAAGTACCGTCTGTTTCAGGAGCCCCAAATAACATGCCCTCACATTTAGTAGTTTCTCAGAACCAGTTAATGATGGCAGGGCCCAAATCGGGACCATCTACCCTTTCAGCAACTCAAGGTGCAACTCCCCAACAACCTTCTGTAAATTCCTTGCCTAGCTCCCATGGCCACCACTTTCCAAATGTTGCTGCTCCAACCCAGACATCTAGGCCTAAAACTCCAAACAGAGCCAGCCCCAGACCCTATTATCCTCAAACACCCAACAACCGCCCTCCTAGTACAGAACCTTCAGAAATTAGTCTGTCACCAGAAAGACTGAATGCCTCCATAGCAGGACTCTTTCCTCCACAGATTAATATTCCTTTACCTCCCAGGCCAAATTTAAATAGGGGCTTTGATCAACAGGGCTTGAATCCAACAACTCTGAAGGCCATCGGGCAAGCACCTTCAAATCTTACTATAAATAATCCTCCTAACTTTGCTGCCCCACAAGCTCATAAATTAGATTCTGTAGTGGTGAATTCTGGAAAACAGTCTAATCCTGGAACAACAAAACGGGCAAGTCCAAGCAACAGTCGGAGGTCTAGTCCTGGGTCCAGTAGGAAAACTACCCCAAGTCCAGGGAGGCAAAACTCAAAAGCCCCTAAACTTACTCTGGCTTCTCAACCAAACACAACCCTGATGCAGAACATGGAGCTGCCTAGGAATGTGTTGGTCAGTCCAAATCCAATTGCCAATCCCCCTTTATCCGGAAGCTTTCCTAACAATAGTGGGCTTAATCCCCAGAATCCCACCGTACCTGTGCCTGCAGTGGGGACTGTTCTTGAGGATAACAAAGAGAGTTTGATCGTTCCTCAGGACAGTGATTGCCAGAATTCCCAGGGTAGGAAGGAGCAGGTAAACGTTGAGCTGAAAGCAGTCTCTACTCAAGAAGCTAAAATGGTTGTCCCTGAAGATCAATCCAAAAAGGATGGGCAACCTTTGGATTCTAACAAACTCCCCAGTGTTGAAGAGAACAAAAATTTGATATCTCCTGCCATGAGAGAAGCACCAACATCATTAAGCCAACTTCTTGACAACTCTGGAGCTCCTAATGTGACCATTAAACCCCCTGGGCTTACAGATCTGGAAGTAGCACCTCCAGTTGTTTCAGGAGAGGACCTCAAAAAAGCATCTGTCATTCCCACACTGCAGGATCCGTCTTCTAAAGAACCCTCTAATTCCTTAAACTTACCTCACAGTAATGAGCCGTGTTCAACCCTTGCGCATCCAGAATTGAGTGAGGTGAGCTCTAATGTTGCACCAAGCATCCCTCCAGTAATGTCAAGACCTGTCAGCTCTTCCTCCATTTCTACTCCTTTGCCCCCAAACCAAATAACTGTATTTGTTACCTCCAATCCCATAACCACTTCATCTAACACATCAGCAGCCCTGCCAACAAACTTACATTCTGCATTGATGTCGACAGTTGTCACAATGCCCAATGTGGGTAACAAAGTTATGGTTTCTGAGGGACAGTCTGCTGCTCAATCTAATGCCCGGCCTCAGTTCATTACACCTGTCTTTATCAATTCATCTTCAATAATTCAGGTTATGAAAGGATCACAGCCAAGCACAATTCCTGCAACCCCATTGACAACCAACAGTGGCCTGATGCCTCCCTCTGTCGCAGTTGTTGGACCTTTACACATACCTCAGAACATAAAATTTTCTTCAGCTCCTGTAGCACCTAATGTCCCCTCCAGTAGTCCTGCTCCAAACATACAGACAGGCCGGCCGTTGGTCCTTAGCTCGCGAGCCGCTCCTGTTCAGCTGCCTTCCCCTCCCAGTACATCTTCTCCAGCTGTCGCTCCTAATCCTCCTGTCCAGCAAGTGAAAGAATTCAATCCAGATGAGGCTAGTCCTCAGATGAACACCTCAGCAGATCAGAGCACTCTGCTCTCTCCACAGCCAACCACAGTAGTTTCTCCCCTTGTGACCAATAGTCCAGGCTCCTCTGCCAATCGGCGAAGCCCAGTATCATCCAGTAAGGGCAAAGGAAAAGTGGACAAAATTGGCCAGATTTTGCTGACCAAGGCTTGTAAGAAAGTTACAGGCTCTCTGGAAAAAGGGGAAGAACAGTATGGTGCAGATGGAGAGACTGAAGGCCCAGGGCTAGAGACCACAACTCCTGGGCTAATGGGAACAGAACAGTGCTCCACAGAGCTGGACAGTAAAACCCCAACACCTTCAGCACCCACGCTACTAAAAATGACCTCTAGCCCCATGGGCCCAAGCTCCACCTCAACAGGACCCATCTTACCTGGCGGTGCTCTCCCCACCAGTGTACGCTCAATAGTAACCACACTGGTACCCTCTGAGCTCATCTCCACAACGCCAACCACAAAAGGCAATCATGGTGGCATAGCATCTGAGCCACTTGCAGGTGGCCTAGTGGAGGAGAAGGTGGGATCTCATCCAGAGCTTCTACCCAGCATAGGTATGTACTTGAGCTTGGCATCCGCTCCTCATGTCAGTTGTTTTTTTCTCACCCGCCCCACAAGAGAGAAAGCATGAGCCCATTTCTACTTAAAGGAAGAAAAATGGCCATAGTTATAGATTTACTTACTGAAAGTACATTAAAAAATATGCTTTTAAATCCCATGTTCAGTTTATATTCATTAACATGATTCCTTCCTGGCTTATGAACTGATGACATGTTTCATATAGATAGATAGATAGATAGATAGATAGATAGATAGATAGATAGATAGATAGATAGATGAGTCTCACTTTAAAACATTTTGTATACACTGCCTCAGATCATCTTTATACCAACCATGTAATGTAGTCTTACTCCTTCCTATGGGTGAAAAGATTGAAGTTCAGAAATGTTCACCATGTGAGCCTATACTATAAGTCTCCAGCCTGGCATGGTCCCTGTGAACAGTGACTTCTCTATACCTTTCCCATCATGAAAGGTACTTGTTCTCTTTGCCTTGTTCTCTTAGTATACTAACTCAGGGACCTTTCTGTTTGGATTGCTCCAGACAAGCTTACCAGAAAACCAGGTTGTATGATAAACCAAAGAAGATAGAAATCGGGAAGAGTCAGATAGTAACTGTCCCGACATTTGCCAGCCTGATGGGCTGGGGCAAGTTCATTTTCCTCCTATGTAGTGTGGAGACAATAATAGTTAACAAGATTTCAATGAGGTAATGCATGCGATATGCTTAGCACAGGACCTAAAATATTGTAATTGATCAATACATGGTTCAAGTGTTATTGCCCATTTTCTTTAGACATGGTCTCTTTATAAACTTCATTTAATGGACATCTAGTTCAGGTTATTTCCTGTGTACTGCAGAGGGAGATAATACTGAAAGCACGGGTGTCCTAACAGTTTCTTTCTCCTTTGAGGTTCAAATGATGCAGAAACTCCATGTTCTTAAAGACAAGTCAATCTTAATGGTGCCCATAGCTGAGAGGCCTCTGTTATAGCTAAGCCAGCTAATACTACCTCTTTTATTTATGCAGCTAAAATACTTTGAGTGCCTATTAATTAGAAGGAGGAACAGAAATACGAGCTTCAGGTTATGATCAGAGTTCACGTTTTAGCTCCCCTGGTTGCCAGTTACAGTCTAGTGAGTTCCTTATACTTCACCTGTAAAGTGGAGATTGTAATTCTACCTCCCAGGATATGTAGGATTCAGTAAGAGCTTGAATATCAAGTGCCAGCATATTGCTCAGACAGCTCTGGGAAGGTTCCTTCCTTTCTTTCTCCTGTTTACTTCAGTGCTAGAGATACAGGGAGGAGTGAAGGCCTGCAAAGAATTCATTGTTCGTAGGAGAGATGGACTTTGCTAGGCAGGGTTCTGTGTTGCAAGTTTAAATTTTGTTGTTGTAGGTAACTATAAGAATTTAAAACAAAGCTGGGCATGATGCTGCACGTATATAATCATAGCACTTGAGAGGAGGCAGTGGGAAGATCCAGCTACATACTGAGTTTGAGGCCAAGCTAAGCTACATGAGACCTTGTCTAAACCAGAAGAAATTGGTGTGGCTTAAGTATATTCTCTGCTGCTAAATAATTCCATTTCTGTTTTCTCTTAGGGAACTTTTCCCTCTTATACTAAGAGAATAATGATGAAGTAATTAGAAAATATTTTTACTTGGATCACAAATAAAAATAGAGAAGCATATAAGCTTTATGGATATGAACCAGCAATTAGAAAGGGTTCAGTTTTAGTTAAGGCCACCTACTTTGTTTATAATAGTTGGTTCTATTCTTTTCCAAGGGACTTCTGTGCTTTTAGTTTGAAAATGTGAGAACCCCTCTTAAGCTAAGTAGATGTTAAGGTACAGTTTTAAGCTTCATCAGAGAAGCATCCAAAATAAATTATTTGATTACTAAGCAGAGAGAAAAATCTACAAAGTTCAGTTTCCACCAAAGGGTAAAACATTTTCTTGTAGTTTGCTATGAATTTTAGGCTGAAGATGGGATGATATACCCTTGACAGTTCTGGAAAACCTGAGCCTTAAATCTTTACAGAATGACCCAGGAAGGTTCTGTCCTAGAGTATGTCATGTATTCTCATTCTCGGGGATCTTAAGTTCTTTCTGTCTTTCTTTCTTTTTTTTTTAATATTTATTTATTATGTATACAATATTCTGTTTGTGTGTCTGCCTGCAGGCCAGAAGAGGGCATCAGATCTCATTTCAGATGGTTGTGAGCCACCATGTGGTTGCTGGGAATTGAACTCAGGACCTTTGGAAGAGCAGGCAATGCTCTTAACAGCTGAGCCATCTCTCAAGCCCCTCTTTCTATCTTTCAAAGACACTATTTTTAATGTTTCTTTACATTTTTGGCCTAGAATATTCTTTTGCTTTGAACCCCCATGGAACTTTCTATATCTCTCTCCGTGTGACATAGTGGTCAGTCTATACTAGGCTGAGTGATGTGCAAAAGGATGGAATCTCTGAGGATGCCTGGCACAGTGCCTAGCTCCTAGAAAGTTCTTAAACTATTTGTTAAGAATTGGGCAGTGGTGGGCGCATGCCTTTAATCCCAACACTCAGGAGGCAGAGGCAGGTGGATCCCTGTGAGTTTGAGTCCAGCCTGGTCTACAACAGCTAGTTCCAGGACAGCCAGGGCTGTTAAACAGAGAAACCCTGTCTTGAAAAACTGAAAACAACAGCAAAAACCCTATTTGTTAGAAAAGTAAATAATACTATATTGATTTATTCATTAGATATAAATTTATTGTCTATTTTTATACCCATCACTCTTGCTAAATGCTATAGAAAAGTACAGAATTGTGTGTTTTAGTAATCAAGGAATGTATTTAGTCTCTAGAGGGCTAAGTCAGAAGCTTTTAAATGTTGAGGTGATTGGTATAGTCATTCTAAAAGTAGCTAGATTACTTACTAAGACAGTTTTTAATGAAAACAACAGTCAAGCCTAGTGTGGTGGCACATGCTTGTAACCCCACCATTGGGAGGCTGAGGCAGAAGGATCGAGAGTTTAAGACCACTCTGAGGAAATTGAGTAAGTCTGAAAGCCAAACAAAAAGAAAAAGGAGTCATGACCTGAAATTGGCCCTAAAATTGTAATTACTGTTGTCCCCGTGCTGTCCGTTTCCTGGTTCTTTATATCTGCACAAAGGAGGAAGAGCAAAGCCTCAAGTGGTCTTTGCTGTTTAGTGTTAGAACAGTTGCTCTGTTGAGGTCGTATTGACGGTCAGCTTCAAGCACTGACTTCTGAGAATGTAGTGGCTCAATAGGGACTTAAGTAGTTGCTTGGTTAGTGCTTTCTGGTTTGGTTAGGAAAAGTAAAAGACCTGTTTGTTTGTTTCTTGCCTCAGCCCCCTCACCGACTTTAGTCCCAAAGGAGCCTCCAGCCACAGCACTGCAAGGGCCTATTGCCAGACCAGGTAAGGCACCATCTAGAGGATCTTCTTGGCGAGGGATGGATTACATGTAAAGGAATCAGTGCTTTTCTCGGTGTCCCATGTTCTCATGCCAGTAAGTACATGGACCTGTCTTATCTACTTGTTTCCAAGCCAATTTGAGTTGAGTGGGAGAACGTGTGTAGCACTCTTCCCAACCAGTGTGTTCATTTTCACATTTGTCGTGTTGTATTAGCCAGAGAGCTCAAGAAGGGCATGTCTGTGCTCTTGTCTGCCATCCTACCCTGAGTTGTTTCCCCTGTTCCCTGATCCTGCTACCCATGGCTGGCAGCCAGCTAGTTGGCATATGGTTGCTTACTGGGGTGGCAAGCATGAATGCACCAAAATATAGTTGGATTACCATGGCAGATGTCGAGGTGTATTTCGAGCCCCCCCACTTAGAGTGAATCATCCCAGCCATCTCTGGATGACTTTAAGTTGCTCCCTGTGACCAAGATATTGTAACTAGCACTAGGGATGGTATTTCTGGTAGGAGGAGTCAGTTGTGATCTAACAGAGAGCTGCTGTGGATGCTGAGTCAGCTCTGAACTCACGTTCCTTGATGGCAGTAAGAACACTTCTGCCTCTGTGACTTACACTGCCAGAGCAAAGGAATATCAGGTTCTTGGTCACAGAAGGTTGTTAAAGGGCACAAAAAAGAAAGTATGACTGGTTCCCAAAGGAAGTTAGAATACCATTGACAGTATAGCCTTGGGCTGATGGCTCAGTAGGAGAGAGTACTTAATGCTCTTTCAGAAGACCAGAATTCAGTTCCTAGCACCCACATCTGGTAGTTCATAAGTTCTTGGACACCCTCATGGCATCGCACATGTCACATGAACATACACACGCTAATAAAAAAAAGTAAAACCTTTTATTGAAAGTATACACATGACCAAATTTTTTTAAAAATGATTTTGTGAATATAAGCTGATAAAAATAAGATACAACTTATATTTTAAAGCTTGCTTCAGGGTTCTATATCCAATATGACTTTCATGCACACTGTGGAAAGAATGGGTATGCAGAGCACACAGCAGCCGCCACATTGCCCCTGCTTCTGATTGCCTGCATGGTAACTAACATTGTGCTGCACATTTTAGAAATGAGAAATTGTTTAAGAAAAGGGGCTCTGCCAGGCAGTGGTGGTGCACGCCTTTAATCCCAGCCCTTGGGAGGCAAAGGCAGGCAGAGTTCAAAGCCAACCTGGTCTACAAAGCAAGTTCCAGAACAACCAGGACTATTACACTACACAGAGAAACCGTGTCTCAAAAAAAAAAAAAAAGAAAGAAAAGAAAGAAAGAAAAAGGGTTCATTAGTAGTACTCTTTTTTTCCCCTAACAAAAAGACCAACTAGAAATGGGAAAGGATTCCATTTCCTGCCCCAAATATTTTTAAATTTTATTATTTCACAGTTTCGTATATGTTTATGATGTATTTTGATCATACTTAGACCTTCTGTCCCCTTCCATTCCCCTGTTCTCAACAGGTACTCTTCCTGCTCTCTGTGCCTTGGCTTTAACGACCCACTGAGTTTACTCTGGGCAGCTCGCTGAGAGCGTGGGTGTGTAACTGTTTACTGACACAGGAATAGCTTGCCAATGGCTACACCATTGAATTAAACTGATCCCCATACCCCACCAGCAGCCATATTCTGCCAATAGCTCCTTAGAGAGAGGTGGAGCCTCATGAGCCCCTCCCCAATCCATGATGCTGCCCTAGCTGTTTACTCTAGAAAATGGGTTGTTACTGTCTTTTCTTACTTACTAGAGTAATTGACTAGGGAACCCAGGTCCTTTATAAAGTTTAATTTATATTAATCACTTTAAAATCACCTCAGAAGCCAAATGTGGTAGCATACACTTCTAATCCCAGCACTCAAGAGACAGAGAAAGGAGCATGAGGAATTCAAAAATCATTCTTAACTACAAAATAAGGTTGATGCCACCTGGACTTCATGGGACCCTGCCTCAAAACATAAAAATATAACACCCTCAGAACTTTTCACTTACATAAATTAGTGAAAAAGTTTTCAAAATCAACTTCTTTGTCGTCTTTCAAAAGAGCACACAAGCTGGGCAGGTCACACATGCCTTTATCCTAGCACAAGGCTGGGCAGATCTCTGTGAGTTTGAGACGAGTCTCCTCAAATATTAAGTTCCAGAACATCCTGGAACTACATAGAGAGACTTTGTTCCAGAAAACAAACAAACAGAATTAATTAATTAAACACTAAATTAAAAGGGCAGACTAGCCTGATGTCACACATACAGAGAGCCCCAGCACTCAGGAAGCTGGGGCAAGAGCTTTACTAAATGAGGCCCAAGTAGGCTACATACGGAGCTCCAGGCAGTTTGTGCTATAGGATAGGATGCCTGGGGGCATGGTGAGGGTGGCAACTCTTCAGGTTAGCATGTCTTTTTGTTTGAACCATTATTATTGAGCATATATTAGGTGAATTTGTGCGCTCCAGCTGACCCAGCAAAGAAATAGAGACCCAAGGAGTTAGTGTATGCTTCTTGTGGCAGGATTTCAGGTCTTATAGGAGAGATTCTGGGAGCCAAGCAGAAGATGGGAAGCAAGGATTCCCTCTGCCAGAATTTTGCATTAAAGGCAATGAAGTCCAGCCTACTTACAGGAAAAGTACAAAGTGACTATCATAGATAGCAACAAATATTAACAATAAATATTGAGTTATTATTAAGTACCAGCTACTATACTAAAACTCATGTGGATTATTTCAATTTAACCTTAACATATAATGTGGTCACCTATGCGTCTCATATAAGGCATTGAGCCCTGAGAAGGCAAATAATTAGCACATAAACACATGGGTAATTAAAAGTGGCATATGGCAGGGATGATAGCTCATTCCCTGTAATACCAGTACTTAGGCTAAAGTGGGAGGATTGCCTGGAGTTTTAGGCCAGGCTGGGCTGCATAGTGAGTTCTAAAGTAGCATGGGCTGCAAAATGAGAACCTTACCACAAACTCCCATAACACTTAAAAAGGAGGGAAGGAAGCTGGGCAGTGGTGGTTAATGATCCCAGCACTTGGAAGGCAAAGGCAGGCAGATCTCTATGAGTTCAAGGCCACCATGGTTTACAGAGCTAGTTCCAGGACAGCTAGAGAAACCCTGTCTTGAAAAACCAAAAAGGAAGGGAAGGGGAGAGGGAAGGAGGGAGGGAAGAAGGAAAAATAGTTGAGATTTAAAAAATTTAACTTAGGTGCTCTGCCTTCAAAGATATTAATAACATGTGCTCCCTTGGGCAGCTTAGATGCTGAGCATCAGGTACTGGATTCTCTATGAGGGAAAACAGGCACAGAGCCAGGGGGAGGCCAGTGGCAGGAGACAAGGCTGTCTGGTGTATTAGGGAAAGGCCTTTTTAAGAGATGGAGCTAGATGGAGAGGCACGTAATAGAAGTAGAAGATTTGTTTGTTTGTTTTTTTTGCTGGTACTGAAAAGAAGTGTTTTATTATCCATGTGTTTATGTGCATTCTCTGATAAACCCAGAGAAAGCTCACTGATGCATCCCCGCCAGGCAGACTGTTTTAGTTGTCTCTAGGGCATTGCTTGGTGACTGATGAAGTCTGTGAAATCTTAGAAACAGATACAGTCTTTGGGTAGTATTTCAAAGCACAGCTCTCTGCCCTCTGAAATTGAGTGAGAATGTCATTTGGGGGGTTAGGAGTGAATCTTTAATAGACACTGTATTATATTTAAAGATAATTGGGTTTGAAAAGAAAATGGAGGTGGTGATATTTTCGGAATGAAAACAGTCTCTTCAACATGAAAGGAAGAGGCTTCTTTTACTAAACTAGTTCTAACTAGATGAAATATGAACCAGCAATGTAAATTTCATCCTGTTGATCCAACAGGATTATTTCACAGTGTGAACTAGAAATAAAAATAGACCAAGTAGTATCTTATATTCCCAACAAATCAAGTTGGACCAGTGCTAACTTTGTCTCCATATCACGTAGGATCGGTTAGCTTCTTGCAGGACATGGAGACTTGTTAGTCCAAATATAACATTCTGGGTTCTGTAGAGGCCTAGCTTCTCCCTATGGACATACATAACAACAGCTTCTATATCTCATTCTCTCCTTTTTGTTTTTTACAGAACTTGAGGCAAATGCTGCCATAGTCTCTGGACAAAGGTAAGAAAGATGACCATTAGCTAAGACTTAAGCATGACCATTGCATGAGCCTTTTTGAAAATCATCAGCTGCCTTTGTCTTTAAATGTCTCCTCACCTTGTCCTATTGTACTCTGTTGCCAGACTGTTTCTCCTGCTCACATAGAGAGCTTCTGTGAACACTCACTCACCCAGGGTACTATTTCACTTAATAAAACTTGATGACTAAGTTTCTGTCTTTTATGATTGTTGAAAATTGATAACATATTCAGCACTCAACATAAATAAATGTTCTGTGTTTTAAGTGCTACCTTCTTTACTGATGGTCCTTGAATATATCTTTTAAGCATAGCTGTTTGATCTTCAAAGGTAAAAGAAAAAGCCAGGTAGGTAGAGTGTAACCCCAAACCATGCTTTGTCTGTTAACTGTGCTACCCTATGTAACCTAACAAAACAGATGAAGTACATCTGTGACTTAACCTCACATTTGCCCTAGAAAGGAGTTTTATCTCCCAAGAACCACACACCCCTCTTTTACTGAAGGAATGCAGTAACATTTTTTTAAAAAAGTCTCATATTTGTATAGAAACTTAGCTTATAAAATATCATTTTCTCATTCAAACTTCATATCAACTAACATTATTTGAATATTACTCCTTGTCATACTCTAGACTACAAGCACTAAATGTATTTATCCTCTTTATTTTTTACAATATCCATTACGATAATAAATTATATCATATAGGTGAGAAATCTAGGTCAAAGAGCTTTAACCAAATTGCCCACTATCACAGATATAGCAAATGATGAAACTGAGATTCAAACCCATCTCTTTCTAACTCTAGGACCCTTACATTTGACCTAGATTTATAGATAAAAGTCTAGACTCTAGAGGATAAGGAGTTAATTATTGTAGCTGATAAATGCACAGTTCCTCCCTGACCCATATAATCGTTGGCAGATTCATTGCTATTCCTAGTCACCACTCTGCCCATCTGTTTTTATTTATTGAATTAATACTTGAATTCAACTGTCTATAAAAAGGGTCTTTCAAGTTCAGATATATCTCATAGATATCTGTTTGCAGAGCTACCTGTATATTGACCACAAAAACACAAGGGTAGTGTTGCTATGACTCTTTGGTTTGGTTTTGCCAAGAAAGGGGGTTCCACCATTAAGGGATTTTCCTCAGAATATTGGACTATTTTCTGGGCTCAAACAGAAAACCATCCTTAGAACCTCTAGAAGGAGATGGAAACCTCTTTACTTGTAATTCCAGTTCCAGCCTAGTTCCAGTTTGGCCTCTCTGACTTTGCTTGGTTTTTGGTTTGGTATGAGATAGCAGTTTTATATAAAGCAAAGGGAATGAATAAACAGTTATGGCTCAGTTCCCAACCATAGTGTTACTAGCAAAGAGTCCTCTGGCAGGAGTGAACAGTGAGTAATGATAATTGATGGTCAAACCCTGATTTGTACCTTTAAGGAACTCACATGAAAGGCACAAGACAGTAAAAATAGAACATCCAGAGCTGGAGAGAGTGCTCAGCAGCTAAGGGCACTGATTGCCCTTCCAGAGGACCTAGGTTCAATTCCCAGCACCCATATGGTGACTCACAACTGTATGTAACTCTAGTTCTAGAGGATCCAATATCTGTTCTTATCTCCAAAGTCACTGTACACGCATGTGCACAGACATACATACAGGCAAAATACCCATGCACATAAATAAATAAATCTTTTTTTAAAAAAAAAAACCTATTGTAGCACAAATATTCTAGTTGGTCTTAATAATAAAAACTCAGTCAGATATAGGGGTTAATGTTGAAGATCAGAGACCAGCCACTAGAGAGTTCTTTTACCTCTCTACCAATGTTCAGACTGAAGGGGCGATCCTGTCCTGTTGTGAGTGGAGTGGCGGGCTATGTTCCTGGTGCCCAGCCGCCCACATGGCTAGCTTTATACCTGAAATAATTACATGGAAATTGTATTCTTTTAAACACTGCCTGGCCCATTAGTTCCAGCCTCTTATTGGCTAGCTCTTACATATTGATCTAACCCATTTCTAATAATCTGTGTTGCCCACAAGGTGGCTTACCAGGGAAGATCTTAACCTGTGGCTGTGTCGGGTGGGAGAATCATGGCGACTGCCTGACTCGGCTTCTTTCTACCAGCATTCTGTTCTGTCTATTCCACCTACCTGATTTTCTGTCCTATCAGGCCAAGCAGTTTTCTTTATTAATTAACCAATGAAAGCAACAGATAAATACAAGACCCACCTCCATCACTGTCCTCACACTTCATTTCCCAACTGCATCTGTCTCTACCAAACCTCAGACTGCACTGAGCTCGTCTCCTTCTGCCTTACATTCCTCCCTCCACCCAACCATCTCACTCCTGTCTCCACCTCCCTACTGCTGGGATTAAAGACATTTGACCCCAAGTGTGAACTCTGATACTCTTTTTTTTTTTTTTTGGTTCCTGTCCTGGAACTAGCTCTTGTAGACCAGGCTGGCCTTGAACTCACAGAGATCCGCCTGCCTCTGCCTTCCGGCTCTGATACTCTTTTAGACAGATTCAATCTTGTGTAACCCACCCAGGGTGTCATGGCCTTGAACTCACAAAGATCCCTCTCCCTCTGTGTCCCGAGTCCTGGGATTAAAGGTGTGTGCCACCACTCACTGGCCTCTAGTGACTTAGCTCTGCACTCTGATCTTCAGGTGAGCTTTATTTGCTAAAATATAAAATATTACTACACCCCATATAATAGAACACCCAATGGATGCTTTAGAAGGTCATATGTGTATAGACTGTGAACCCAAGAGAGAAAAGCCAAGTCCATGGGGAAAGGGACACGGAACTCTTCCCAGAAGAAGTAGGCTTTAACTTGTTTAGTTGCGTTACATTTCAGCTCTATGCCTTGCAATCAATTTTAATCAAATTTTTTGAATGATCTTAATAAGCACTTTTGAACCATGGATATAATAAAAAGTTTATTAAAGAAATTTCCAGCCATATCAGAATTAAATTCAGGTCTAGTAGCACAGGCCTGTAATCCTAGCACTTGGGAGGGCCAGGCCAGAGAATCAAAAGTTCAAGGTCATCCTCAGCTATGTAGTAAGTTTGAAGCTAGTCTAGACTATAGGGAACCTTGTGTTTAAGAAAAAAAAGAAAGGAAACATCAGAGGATTTCAGAGTGACTCTGTAGTCTTCTTTACAGAATATACAAGAAGTCCTCTTTCAGATGTGTGTGCCATACCCATTCACTCATGTGACATGAATAATTTGTCACAGAGTAATCTTTCACAAAATATTTTAAGACTGCATATATGCGCCATAATTAATTATTATTATTAGGCATTTTTGTATCTTCTGTAAATTTGCCCCTGTGTCTTTAAACAGTACCAATCTTAGATCTTTTCTGACTAAAGTTCCAGGGTTAGAGTTGAGACATTCAGTATATCTGCAATAGATTGTGAATATATTCCTACTACTTAGATAATTTTGACATTGTTAGTTATAATTAAAGCTATATAAAAGGATTTCTTTACAGTGAGTTATAGAAATTCATAGGTATAATCACAACACTTAGGAAACAAAGGAAGAAGGATTGCCTTGAGTCCAAAACCAGATTTGGCTACATATTCCAAGTTCCAAGCCTGTCTGAGCTGCATACAATATGAGTCCAGCCAGCCATTGCCCCCGCACCCACCCCACACGTATGTTTTAAAATTGATTTCTTCGGGCACCTAGAAATGGAGTTACGCCATGTTTTCCCACCTCAACATTACTGACTTGTGGGTCAGATAATTATAATAAGGTGCTGCCTTTGTATCATAGAATGTTTACCCAAAGATGCCAGTGGCATACTTCCCATACTGCAACAGTGAAAACACGTGTCCAAAGTTGGGAATGTATTTTACTGATCCCAATACTCCTTATTGAAAATCTTTGGATTACACAATTTATACTCCATCAGAAGTATATGAAAATGTTTTTGTTCCTGTGTCTTTAATAACAGTATTACCAATTTTTAATAGTTGCCTGCTAAAATGCCAGGGTTGGAGCTGGGGCATTCAGCCTATCTGCAGTGGATGATGAATGTGTTCCTGTTACTTAGATAATGTACTATACTACTATCTAATACAAGCATATGCTCAAATTTGCCTAGTAACCCCCCAAATAATTAATTTCTTTTGAGACAGGATCTCTTAATAATACTCTGGCTAGACTAGAATTCACTGTATAGATCAAGCTGGCTTCAAACTCACAATGATCAGCCTGCCTCTACCACTCAGATGTTGGAATTAAAGGCATGTGCCACCTTACCTAGATTTTAGATACTATTTGGGGCTAGTAGAGATTTTCAAACATTTATTAAGAACATGTTATTGCTGAAATTTTTTTACACAATGTTTGAAGGGAAATAAGTGAGGGTTTATAGAGGGCTGTTGCAGGTCTTTATGTCTCTCACCTGCTTTCCCACAATCGCATTGTGCTTTCTTTTTCTTTTGAACTTACTCTGTAGACAAGCTGGCCTCCAGCTCTGCTTCCCAAGTATTGGGATTGAAGATATGCACCATCACCACTCGACCTATTTTATTTTTCTGATGTAATCAGTTAGACTTGCTTTTTAAGTTTTTAATAGCATTGTCTCATTTCTATCTATAATGACTGGTTTGTTTTGTTTTTGTTGTTTACAGTGCTGGGGATCAAACCCAGGACTTGTACATCTCAATAGATTGAACTGTATCCCTGGCCTGACTAGCTGCTAATTATCTCCTACTTTTTTGAATGAAACTGTACTTAGAGTCCCTTTTTATGTGTCTTTTTTTTAAATATTTATTTATTATGTATACAATATTCTGTCTGTGTGTATGCCTGCAGGCCAGAAGATGGCACCAGACCCCATTATAGATGGTTGTGAGCCACCATGTGGTTGCCAGGAATTGAACTCAGAACCTTTGGAAGAGCAGGCAATGCTCTTAACCACTGAGCCATCTCTCCAGCCCCCCTTTTTATGTGTCTTGATGCCCTTAATCTTCTTAAAAACTTGCTACTTCCCTCTGTCAGCAGTGAGCCAAAAGAGATAGTTGAGAAGTCCAAAACCCCGAGCCGAAGAAACTCTCGAACTGAGGAGCCGACTGTGGCTTCTGAGAGCGTGGAAAATGGACATCGAAAACGATCCTCTCGGCCTGCTTCAGCCTCCAGCTCTACAAAAGGTTAGCAGTGGGGCTTGGATGCTTTGGGAGCAGGGTGGGGGTGATTAAAAGATTGGGTCCTCATCACAGCAGGGAGGATTTCACCCTCCGTCCTCGTCTGTCAAGCCAGTTTGTTTTCTCCTCTGGTCTTGTCCTTTGTTCACTGTCCGTCCATTAGCCTGTGTGTTTTCTTTGTGGACACAAGAACAATAAAAAGAATAAAGAACTTAGGTTGGTCTCATTTTAAATTTGTGTTTAAAATGTGTGTGCCACCTGTAATTGTGGCACTAGTGAGGTGGAGGGTGAGCTTAAGGGTCCTTAGTAACTACATAGGGAGTTTGAGGTCCTGTGTCAAAAACATACATCTACACACTAGAAAGCTCACAATCATTCACTTCAGTTAAATCCTGAATATGGCCTAGCTTCTTTTCTGAAGTTAAGTACCTTTTCTACATACTGTCTGTTACATTATCCCCCTTTGTCTTCTTATGTAATCGTGTTTCCCTCAACTCTCAGACCTATGCCTCAGCCTCCTGAGTGCTGGGGTTAGAGGCATTCACCATTATACTTGACTTTTCCATACTTTTTAAACCTCTATCACAGTATTCTCTGCTCTATCTTAGTAGGGGCTCTCACATCTTCATAGAAAAAAAATAGAATTCTCCATTTACACTACCGAGGTATTAATCTAAGTAGACGGCTGTGACAGCAGTGACCATCTTCAACTCGAAGCCTAGTGCCTCCATCGGTGCCTCTAATAGCTTCTTTTATGACCTCAGCTTCACATTACCAGTTCTCTCTATTGAAAACTGTCTCTAATCTGGGAAAGGGGAATTGTTTTGAGATAGAATCTTACTCTATAGCCCAGATTACACATGAAATTTTGCCAATCCTTCTACCTTAGCCTCCCAAATTCTGAGATTATAGATGTGAGCCACCCGACTAAGATAGTATTCTGTTCTTTTCTATTTTTTTTCTTCTGTTTTGGGGAATGAACCCATGGCCTAGTTGATGCAAGGCAAGTACTCTACCAACTGAGCTTAATCCCCTAACCCTACTGTTTATTTTTTTAATTAATTGTTCTTGACTTCCATGATTCAGAGTGCTTAGTCATTTCCTGCTACCTCTCTGGCAACTCCTTAGTTTTCATAGATGCTGGCCTTACATTCCAGTCTTAAAATGTAAGCGTAATGGCGCAGTCTATAAATCCAGCACTTAGGAGGCAGAGGCAAGATGACCAGTAGTTTAATTTCATCCTCAGTTACAGAACAAGCTTGAGGCCAGCCTGGGCTACGGGACACTCTTTCTCAAAAAAGCAAACAAAAATTCTCCCATTGTGAGGGCAGATTCTGTTGCAGTGGCATCAGACGCTGATACAAGGACTCAGCTGTTACCAGCAAGAAATGTCATAATGCTGCACAGAGAGCCCCTAGAAGGGAGCCACAGACCTACCAGTTATGTGTAGATAGGACAGAGACCTTAAAAGTAACACACTTGCCATGGAGGCATGTATAATGTTAGGCACCTGAATCATAGAAATATCTTACTGCAGAATCAGTACTTTCAATGGGGAACTGGAGAAATGGAAGACCACTGATTGTTCTTCTGGAAGACCAACAACATTCTATTCCCAGCACCCACATGGCAGCTCTATAACTCCAGTCCCAGGGCATCCAATACTCTCTTCTGGCTTATATGGACACTGCATGAATGTGGTACACAGATATAAATGTAGTCAAAACATCATTACACATACAATTGTTCTAAAATTAACAAAAGTCTGTGAGTGTGGATCAGTGATAGAGTACTTGCTTCTTCATTCTCATTGTGCTGGGTGGTAGAAACAGTAGTAGCATTTGGAAGGGATACAAATTGAACCACAAAGGATAAAAATGACCTGATCTTTTCAGACATATTTACAGAAGTGGAAAATGACCTTTCTCTGTGGTCCAGAGTAGTTCCCCAAATCCTACAGGGAATATGATAGAGACTTCAAAATCTGGTGAAATAAAAAGGAAATTTTATTTTATATTTGGGATTTTTTGTTTGTTTGTTTGTTGTTTGCAACAGGACCTCACTATGTATCTAGCTGGCCTGATAGTCACGAACTCACAGATTCATCTACCTCTCTCTACCTCCCAAGTGCTAGGGTTAAAGGCCTGTGCCACAGCATTTTAGCATTTTGGTACATGCTTCTAATACCAACACTTAAGAGATTGAGGGAGAAAGGTCATACATTCGAGGCCTGACTAGGTTATAAGGCAAGTTCTAGGTCAACCTGGACTACATAAGAAGACCCTGTTTCCAAATATAAACATTTTTTTGAGACAGCTATACAGAGACGGGGTTTCTCTGTATAGCTTTAATAAAAAAAATAAACATCTTATATCTCATGATAGTATAAAGATGTATCATTCATCATTCCCACCAGTCTTCAAAAGATTTTTTTTCCAGTTTCTAGCCTAAGTCACTTGTTTGCTTGCATGGTTAATACATTAAAAAGATAACCTAAAAGAACAACAAAATACATTAATATCTTACTAAGAGTGAAAATGAAGCCACTTCCTCTTGGATTAATTTGATCAAGAGTGAGCCCAAATTTGAATTCTCCATCTCTCTCCCTGTCTTTTGTCTGTAGTGTCTGGCTGTCTGTAATCAGTGTATTGTGCGAGTCTGAATCTGTGCCCCAGTGGTTGTCCTTGTCCATAACAAAGGACTTACCTCTGTATTTATTGAACAGCACAGGAAACATGGCATGGGAAAGAAACGAGGGGTTCTTTACAAAAATCCTTCACAGGGTTTTACCAGGGAAGAAGTCACCTTCCTGACCACACCTAACTACATAGCACTCCATACAGCAGACAGACATCATCACCCTATAGCCACATGTTTGCAGCACTTATGGTGGGTATTTGTTTTAAGATTTTGAACCTGTTGGCTGTTTTCAGCAAATGATTACCACGCCGTGAACATACACACATATTCTGGGCCAATAGCACAGAAGAGTACTTAAGATTAAAGCTATACATTTATCTTAGGTTGTAAAAACTGATTGCATGGGAAACCCAAGGCATAGTAAGATTGGTTAAGTTGTTGGTGGTGTTTTTTGTTTGTTTGGGGGGGCGGGTGTTTTCTGAGACAGGATTTCTCTCTGTGGCACTGGCTGGCCTGGAACTTACTCTGTAGAACAGCTGGCCCAGAACTCAGAGATCCACCTACCTCTGCTTCCCAAGTGCTGGATTAAAGGTGTGCACTTCCACCACCAACTGGCTCTACTTCGTTTTTGTTTTTTTTTTTGTTGTTGTTGTTGTTGTTGTTTTTCAAGATATGGATTCTTTTCGAGACAGGGTTTCTCTGTAGTTTTGGGGCCTGTCCTGGAACTGGCTCTTGCAGACCAGTCTGACCTCAAACTCACAGAGATCCACCAGCCTCTGCCTCCGGAGTGCTGGGATTAAAGGTATGAGCCACCCACTACCGCCCAGCTGTTATATTGTTTTCTTAAGGGCCAGTTAAATATTCTGAGTACACAGTGTAATAGTAAGTGGACACACCTTTAATCCCAGCACTCAGGAGACAAAGGCAGTGGATTTCTTTGAATTGGAGGCCAGCCTGGTCTGTAGAGCTAGGTCGAGGACAACTAGGGCTGTTATATAGAGAAACCCTGTCTTTAAAACAAAAGAACAAAATAAAAAGTAAATAGTCTTAAATTACTTTAAGGGGTATTATTAATTTTGCTGTAAGGTCAGCCAAAAGTTCAGTCTTTGTCGGGGGGTGAAACTAAAAGACATTTTATAAAAAAATATATCACCACCTTTACTGAGGGCCTCATACATTGATTTGTACTCAAAGGCAGTATTCTAATTCATTGATTTGGGAATAAAAAGGGTGGAGACTGATGTTGCTCATCCTTCTCTCCCTACCCTCTGTCCAAGTCTCAGATACATCATTTGATTTTTTTTTTTTAAGGCAGGGTCCTGCCTGTTCTGGAACTTGCTACATAGACCATATAGCCCTCAAACTCAGAGAAATCTTCCTCCCTTTAAAGGTGTACACCACCTTATCCAGCCACCATTTGATTCTTCACACATGAGGGAGATGTTTCTAAAGTTGACCTAGTTGATAGATTTTTAATTTTTTCATTTTCATATATGCATATATATTCTTTCAGGTATGTACACCTGTGTGCATACATGTGGAAGCCAGGTGTCAATGTTGTGTATCAGCTATTTCACTCTCCACCTTATTTTTATCTCTTGCATTTGTGTTTTGCCTGCATGTATGTCTGTGTGAAGGTGTTGGACCCCTGAAACTGGAGTTACAGACAGTTGTAGGCTGCCATGTGGGTGCTGGGAATTGAACCTGGGTCCTCTCAAAGAGCAGTCGCTCTTAACTGCTGAGCCATCTCTCTAGCCCCTCCACCTTATTTTTTTGAGACAGTGCTCTGTCAATGAACTTAGACCATGCTAATTGTTTTAGGCTATCTGGTCAGCAAGCTCTAGGGAGTTGCCTGTGTTTTCCCTCCAAGCACTGAGATTACAAGCATGCAACGCTGTCCTGGTTTTTATGTGGGTGCTGGGGATCTAAAGTCAACTTCTCACGCTGGCCAAGCTAGCACTTGACCAACCGAAACATTTTCCAGCCCAGATATTTTTCTGAGGATAAACAATGTCAAGATAAAACCCTGTATATTTTCACTCCAACTAACCAGTTTGCTGCAGTGGAAAATTGGACATAAAGAGTTGATTATAGGGACAGGATAGTGACCATGCCAGTCATCCCAGCACTTGAGGGCCTGAGGAAAGAGCCTGCACTAGTGAGTTCTAGGCAGCCTGAACTGCAAAGTGACCTTGTATAATAAGTAGTTGATTATGGGAAGTTGTGTGTGCTGTGTGAAACTCAGTTCTTTTATATAAATTAAAATAAAGAACACCATTATTAATGTCTTTCTAGTTTGTAAATATGAGATACTCCCCCTCATGGCACGAGCAGTCTGACCACCCAGTGAGAAAACATACTAGAGTTGTCACTAATAGAAGCTTGGAGTTGCTGCCTTAGTCCCTCTTAGAAAACCACATCAGCCTCCATGACAGCGGCCAGAGTGAACAGCAGTAAATGCTTTTCTCATCTGTTTCTGGTGGCCTGAATTTTCAGAATATTACGATAAAAAAAAAAAACCGCAATTTTGCTTAGAACACTGAACTTGGTAATGTTGCATGAAAAAAATTCATTCCATCCAGAAATGTTTGAATCTGATTCATCTTTTGAAATAATAAATGAGAAACAATTGTTTACTTTGATGAGAGATATTTAAAACATTGTTGGGTTACCCCAAGACTAAGTAAGACTCTGTATATATCAACGATGACCCTTTGCCTGCACCTTACAGGTGCTGAGGTGACAGATGTAATTACAAAATATATGCCAAAACACCGAGATAAAATATTTTGTATTGAAACTAAAATATCTATCATGTAGCAACATGAAAAATAAGTCAGTTAGATTTTTTTGTGTTTTTTTTTTGTTGTTGTTGTTGTTTGTTTGTTTTTTAAGACAAGTTCTCTCTGTAGCTTTGAAGCCTGTCCTGGAACTCGCCAGGTTGGTCTCAAACTCAGAAACTCAAGAGATCTGCCTGCCTCTGCCTCTCAACTACTGGGATTAAAGGTGTGGGCTGCCACCACCACCCAGCTCAGTTAATTAGATTTTAAAGAAATGTTTACATTTACAGATCTTCAGGGTACTACTGTACTGTGCCATAGAAGACAGGAAAAGTTTTGAATAAACATGATTTAAATCTGAGATAAGAGTAGCTTGACTTGAGACATTGGTATGTATAAGGGAAGTTAAAGGAATTAAAACATAAAGCAGTCTTTCCCTTTTACGTCAGTGTTACTGTGTATAAATCACTCAGGTGCCACCTGTGCAGCAGCCTTCAGAATTGGGGGAGGTGTCACCTGCTCTGAAATGCTTCCATTTGTGTATGTGCTGTTTTTTTGGGAGGGGGCAGTGTAGATGCTGAGGGCCTCAGACATGCTAGGCAGGTGATCTGCTACTAGAGCTATGTAACCCCAGCCCTCCAACGCCTTGATGTATGTGGGCCACAGTAGACCCTGACTAAGATCTAGGTTGTGTCGCTTAGACGTTAGCTGTAGCATACCAAGAAGAGTTCCTTACTGCAGAATAATGGCTTGGCTACGAAAGAGAGCCAAAGACTGATTTCTGGCACTGGCTGACTTCTCACCAAAAGCACTGTTGTTGTATCTGTAGCTTCAGTGAATGATGAGAGTTGGTGAGGGAGATTGTGAAGTTGATTGTACAGCTTGTAAGGGATCAGGTTGGTGGAAGTGGGGTAGATATAAAGCAGGTAACAGTGAACCAGCAGAAGAACCGACTCCCAAATTGTTCCCTGACCTCCACATGCCCAAGCACATACACACAAACTAGTATGATAAAGGCGCGCATGGCAGTTGGTTCTCTTTCCACCATGTGGGGTCCAGGGATTGAACTCGGGTTGCCAGGTTTGGTAGCAAGTGCTTTTACTCACTGAGCTATCTTGTTGGTCTTCATCACATTTCCCCAGTTGGCAGCCCCTGATATACAGGGACACTCTCTCTTACCACAGCAAGCAAAAAGCCTGTGGCTGTTTTCAAACCATGTGTCCGTTAAACTGATTTAGAGCCTAATAAGGGCTCAATTATGTCAAATCAAGACATTGTTGACACCTAGCCACCACTGCTACCTTCGTTGAACATGTCCTTCCTTTTCCCCACAGATATAACTGGTGCAGTGCAATCCAAGCGAAGAAAATCCAAGTAAGCAAGCTGGAAGATGACTTGATACTTGTAAATGTGTGTGAATTTTACAAAGAGCAATTTTCAGCTGTGACTTTTTAAATCTTTCTGTACAGTTAGTCATTTTAATAACTCGATCCTTTTCCTAGTCCCTGAAACCTGTCTCATAAAGTGTAACGGGGAGCAGCCCTTTTGGTGTTGCGAAATGAAGTTCAAGGCTTCTAAAATGTTGCCATGTATTGAAAGAAGCTAATGCCATTATAAATGTTATTAGTTTCACATTTCTTAAGCAGCCTAGAGTACAGGGTGAACATTTGTAGATCTTCTAATGATGTATTGTGCTGTGGAAGTACTGTGTGTGAATAGCAGTAGTGGGGCAAAAAGCAATCTTGTCATTTGGAAATGTTGTAAATAATTTTATTATATAGTGTTTTGGATGTATTTGTTGTAGAAATGGACCAGTGAATAAAGAGAATCTAAGGGTTTGTACAATGTGAAATATTGAACGTGTTAAATAAATGTCTTTGTCATAGAACTTAAAAGTATGTTATTGGAAAGGGTGAGCAAGGTTTTCTTTTTGGTCATAGATGAGTAGACACAGCCTTCTTTGTAACTCAGACACCTCCCACCTAAAATGCCCACCCAGCAAGATGAGGAAAATGCACTGCTCACCCAACTTATTTTTGGCTTTGAACAAACCAGAATTGTTTAGCAGCATACTGGAGATCTCATATACGTGTGTGTGTGTGTGTGTGTGTGTGCATATATGTCTAATTTCATTGGTTTGCAAATTATCACCAAGTATGGTGGCACACACTTGTAACATAATGCTTGGGAAGCAGAGACATAAGAATCACAAGTTAGCCGGACGGTGGTGGCATTCGCCTTTAATCCCAGAGGCAAGTGTATCTCTGTGAGTTTGAGACCAGCCTGATCTATAAAATGAGTTTCAGGACAGCCTGGGCTGTTATAGAGAAACCCTTCCTCAAAAAGCCAAAAAGAATCACGAGTTCAAGGTCATCTTCAGCTACATCAAGTTTGAGACCAGTTTGAGTTTTAGAGGCAAGAAGCTGTCGGCAGCATAGATGGCCTCCTCGTGCCTGTGCCGCTCCCTTCAGGAGTGCTCAGACTGACCAGCACGGCTGTCTTAGTGTGATTCTGAAGTGCAGTAGGAGCTCCTTGTCCTTGCTGTAACCCAGTACTTGGGACTAAAAGAATGGCCCCGGGTCTGTCGCATTTCCACTCTCGTTCCTGGAATTCAGATATCTTCATATGTGTCTTCAGAGGGTCTTCTAAAAACAGTTTATGAGTCAGACCCTATATTGTCTCTTTCCAGAGAACTTATTTACCCTCTTCCTCTCTTGTATGACAAACCAGAGCCAAAGCCAGCCTAATAATAATACCCTCTGCCTTGACTATACTTGAGATTATAGTGTTTCTATAATATAGAGGTTTAGCTCAACTCAGGCAGAAAGCATGTGCTTTAAATAGATTTTTATTTGTTTATATTTTTTTTTCTCCCATACAGGAATAGCATTACAATCTAACATTCAGAATCCTGTTACACACATACACAGGCATGCCACATGACCAGGTCGAGGTGGTTGTGTCCTTGAGTCTGTCGACACATCACAACATGGTCAGTCAAAGATTTTTCATTTCAGCCGGTCTCAACACAAAACACCCAACAGAGATGCACTCAACTTGTTGGTTCCATTTGGAACTAGGTGGTAGGGTAGGAAGGTATTAGAACAGGCTGTGGTTTGTCTGCATTCAGTCCCCTCACACAAAGCTACATGGATCTTGAAAGCCACCCAGGAGCTCTGGTAGGGTCCTTGTTGCACCTAAGACATTATAGGTCACAGCAAGTTGATCAGAGGGTTCCAGGCTGGGGAGCAGGCATACTCCAAAACAGCACCAAACTGCACTCACACACACACAGTGCCCTACTGGGGCTAGACTGGCAAAGGTTAGAAAGTGACACCAGCTCGAGAGAACCACTCAGACTTATTGGAGAAAGCTGGAAGTTGCCCTTTGATGTAATTGGGACTCACTCTAGAAACAGGTCCCTCTGACATCCTTAGTTTTGGCAAAGTGCTGGTAGTATTGACATTAATACAAACTGGTACAAATTTCTCTAGGGTCTCTGAAATCATCAGTCAAGACAGACTCTCTAACCTCCTCCTGTCTAGGGTTGCATAGGACTTTGTGAATTCTGGTTCCCTTGTGTATTCAAGTTCTGTGGTTTAAGAAAAAAAAATCCTGAAGCATGCTCAAGGTGAAAGGCACATACACAGTCAATACAGTATGACAAGGTCTGATGCTTCAGGAGGCAGACGAGCAGGAGACTGAGTAGTGTTGGTTCTTAAGAAACCTATACACAAAATATTGCCACACAAATGCTACAGAATCTATAGAAAATACAAAAGAAAAATAAGCCTTGCAACCAGTCAAATGAGAGATTGGAGGGTTCTAGAACTACAGGAGCGTCTAGAAATACAGGGCAAAGGCGAGGCCTTTTGAAAGTTGAGCCAAATGCCCTATCAAACTTCCCACAGCAGCAGGATCATGGGCACTTGCCCAGGACTGAGCCTAGACCCCATCTGGCAGTGAGAAATAGACAAGAAGGGCTGGAGGGAGTCTCAGCTCTTGGAAGTGCTGACGATCCTAAGCTGGCTGGGAAGTGACCTTCTGATAGCAGGAAGAGTAAGTGTACTGGGTTGTAAAGGACTTGGGACAGGAACAAAGTTATCAACTACTAGGGCCCTAAAAAGCTGCTGTGAGGTTTTGATCTGCTATAGTTTGCGTTTGGCTTATCCTTGGGCTAGGAGACCGTAGCAGGGCTTCCTCCGTCCCCATCCTGGGGACACCCTCTCCCATCCCCACATGGAGCCTGGTAAAGCATCAGAGAGGGCAGCTACTTTTACCCTCATAGGAATGCAGTTTTCTCCAACCCCGGTTTGGGTCTGAGGCCCGGAAACCTGGAGCTGAAGAGAAAGGGAAGACCTGTGTTAATGTGTAACAGGAAATCTAAGTTTTGAGGAAGGAAGAGCACACACTTAAAAAAGACAGCTAGAAAGAATCGGAAACAACTTGGGGGCATCCCAAGAGGCTGTTGCTGGTGTCTGAGCCCCACCACAAGAAGGGAGAAGCTGGCTACCCCATCCCTGTGCTCTACCCAAGAATTCCTTAACTCCAGATAGTTAACTAGAAAGGGAAGAGAGACCACAGGGCACCCAGAAAGGAAGAGCCCTGAGGGAGAACATTAAGAAGCCTCTTGAAGGTCCTGAACTTCTGTAAGAAAAATTTGGGAACTGGAATAGTGAGGCTCCTGGCCTCCTACCCAGGAGTGTTTAATTAGCCAGCCATATTGAGCAAAGTATGAAATATAAGGTCAGAGGCAAGGTGAAGGCAGAGCTGTCAGTCTGGGGATGGCTTTACCCCAAAGTTACTGTCCTTCAGCATCATCCCTCTGCATTCTTGGGATATGTACCCTTTTCCCTGCCTGGAAGCCCTCTGGCCTGTGTCTCTCCTAAGCCAATTCTAGCACCTTGGGCATATGAACAAAGATGGCCAGGATGTCAGGGCCTTACCCAGCTTCTACTCCTGGGGTGGCATGTCAAGGTAAGGTGACAAGGTACAAGCCCTTCGAAATCCAGACTCACTGGGAGGTGGGGAGGGAAGGGCTCCTGAAGGGGGACAGATTTCAGGATTATAGGAAAGGAAATGGGGGCAGGCTCCAGGCTCAAGCCTCACACCAGGGATTAGCTCCTCTGACCAAGCACAATGCCTGCTCTCACAATGCCCTGCTCACTACTATTTCTCCTCCCATCTGTCCCTGTCGGCACCTCCCAATAGGCTGCCCGTTTCCCTCCACTCCCTTCACCTCATCTAACTTACAACTCACTGTCCTCCTCCACATACTTTAACTTTCCAGGCCTAAGCAGCTCCAAGGAGCTCAGCCCCCCCGGGGGGGGGGGGCGAAGGGGAGGAGCTAAAATCAAAACCCTGTGTCTGACACCTGCCTACAGAGTAAGAACAATGGCCCAGGCCTGGCAGGTTGTACCTGGTCAGGATTGGGAGGGAATTGGCAGGAAGGAAAAAGGGAACGGGAGTGGGAGTAATTCCTAAGGGAAAAGAGCAAGTCTTGGAAAGGAGGAGCTCAAAGTGGAGAATGCGCCCTGCAGGTCACGGTGGGAGAGGCTCTTAGAAAGCGGGTGGGCTAGGAGGACAAAAGTGAGGGAGGAGAGACAAGCACAGGGGTCTGAAAAGGAAGCATGGCAGAGTAGGAGTGTGACCGTGAAGAATCCGAAACAGATGGGGAGAGTGACCCGGGATGAAAGAGGCTAGAAGGTGAGTTAGTTCAGAAACCGAGAAGTCAGGGAGTAGAGGGCCATCATCCCACCTCAAACACTTAGGAAGGAGGGAGCTTCTGGTATCCAGATGGAGGCAGGCGGACCCTGGACACCCCTTGAGCAGCACACTGGCTGCTGCCGAAGAGGCAGATGGGACCGGGAGACTGCGCGGGATTCGAGGTGCAGCAGGGGCGCTCAGTAGTTGAACTGGCGCTGGCACGGCTGGTAAATGAAGCTGCCCTGGTGCTTGGGCCGGCGCGAGCGACTCTCCCGAGCGCGGTTCTGCCGCTGTAGCACTTTAGCATTCAAGGCGTGGCGCTCTGCCCGCTGCCGGGCCCTCTGCAGCCTCCGCACCTGGCCGGCCTTTTCCAGCAGCCCAGCTCGCCCTGGCATAGCAGCAGCTGCATGGTGCAGGGCCCTGGGCTCCCGTCGGGCAGGCGCCAACTCTCTGCAGGGACAGAGTCCAAACGTTAGAGGGGGACAGTGGGCTGGTATCTCCCACCCTGTCTCTTCTGGGCAGAGTATATGATGCCCTAACTGAGGGTACCAACTCTTCCCTCAATCCCAGTTAGAGGTGTTTCTTAGCTAAATCGAACCCCTAATCAAAACAAGCCCCACTCTGCACCCTGGTCTAGCAGTTCAAGCCAGTCCCAATCCCCTGGAGCTAAGACTCTCCCAAGTCCCACCTTAGCTATAAGGCCACGCCTCTCTCCCATCAGTGACCCCTGCTAGGCGGGCAGTCTCAACATCCTTCAACCCACTCACCCATCGCTGAGGTCCTGATCAGGCAAGGCAGCGTCAGGGTGGGGGGAAGGTGGCCCAGACTCCAGCACAATGGTGCTGCCGGTGACATAAACGGACATGCTGGGATGCTCAATGAGGAGGTCCTCCAGGGGGTTGCTCTGGAGGCGGGCCGGCCCAAGACCGGGCCCCTCTGCAGTAAAACAGGCGGGAGGGGTAACAAACCAGCTCTCGTCCATCAAGGAGGGTGCGGGTGGAGGGCGGCCTGCGGGAGCAGGAGAGGCCCCAGGATTTGGGGGAGCTGTGTAGTTGTCTATAGGGTGTGAGGGGGGTCATGCGGAGGAGAGGGAGCAGCGGGAGTGGGACACACACACACACAGACCGGACACGGGATGGGGAGAGAAAGGGCATCGTTAGTCAGACCTGCAGCCCTGTCCAC